ACAGCGCTGGGTAGTTTTTTGGCCATCGGGGTAAGTCCAATAAACAATGCTCATAATGGCGTCTTCACTGGAGAGGCAATTCCACTTAGTCACTCTTGGTACGGTACTTTTCTTCTTTTTGTTCAAGTTTTCGTCCCCTCCAGGATTGGCGTCTCGTTGTGGAGGGCGGATTCTGCGCGAGAGGCACTGAAACCCGTCGCCGATGCCGACGGCGAAGCCAAGCAGGACCACCAGGTTCACGAGTGGCGGTGGGAGATGCAGGAGGGGCGCCCAGAAAGGGCGGCCTTCTCAGTCAGGGCTCCTCTCTCGTGGCCTCCACCACCGATCCGCTTCTCAGCCCTTCTGCTCCCACTGCTTCTCGCTCTTCAGAGAAACGCCTCAGGCCCTGCACGCTCTGGGTCTCCATGCACGTGCTCCTGCCTCCGGCCCTGCCCCTTGTCTCTGTCTCTCCGCCTCTGCCCCTGCTCCTGCCTCCGTTCGGGCCCGCGTCTCAGTCTCTGGTGCTTTTCCCACCCGACAGGTGGGGGGTGTTAGGTTCTACGAACAGGCCTCCCGACCTGCCCACCCTGTGTACCGCGGCCGCCAGATCCCCAGGACCACCGGTGGTTCCTCGGGATCTTCCTGTGGGCCGTCACGTAGCGTAACAAAACCTGTCCGAGCATAGCGTGACATATCATGACAGTCGTAATACCCTAAGTCGAACTAGTAGAATCTACGATAACCTTTCTGAAGAGGACATGCCATACCACATAATTGAATCTCATGGTGTAGTATTCTATGTGATGCAGCAGAATTGGAGATACACCAACATAACATGACGACCAACATTTCAATATAGTTGAATATGATAGTGCATCCTATATGCTTATATATATATATGTATACGTCACAACGCGGAGTCTGCCATCACTAGATCTAGAAGGAACATACCTGAGTACATCGACGAGAACACGACGTAACAATACCCGTATCTATTTTGGTTCAAGCTTCTGGCTCGGCAGACCCGCGGCGCACGTACCGTTGTGCAACTGGCCCACCTCCGAGGAAAATCGATGGGCGGTGCACGCCTCGCGGCGCTGCTGCTCCTGTTCGGCGCGGTCCACAGCGGACGCGCGGAGGACCTCGCCGAGGACGACTCCTCCGCGGCTAGCGTGGCGGCGATGACGTTCCGACGCCTGCAGTGGACCTGGCACGGAGCACCGCTTCGGCGGCCTGGCGGCCGACACGATCAAGACCGTCGAGAAGGCAACCGCTTGCAAGAATGCGACGGACTCCCGGGGCGGCGCCGCCGTGCCGAGCCCGGCGCCCGGGGTGGAGAAGGTCGCTGCCGAACCAGACAGTTACAAGCCGGGTGAGCAGGGAAAGAGGGAACACCGTGCCGGATTGACGTAGAGTGCGTGTCGGCGAGGCGCCAGCTGTACAAGTGCGCGGCGCCCGTCCACACCGAAGCCGTCGACTCTGCCGCGGAGGCCTCTGGGGAGATCGCCGCGGAGACCGCCGGCGGAGGCACCCGCGGCCTCGGGGAAGGCCTAGGGACGGCGTCCGAGAAGGCCGGAGGCCCCGCTTTGAGCCTGCCGATGGGGCGCGAGGCGAGGCTGCCCGACGGAATCCGGGGGGCAGGCCGTCTCGACGTGCGGATATCCACGGCGCCTGGATGGGTCGCCTGCCTCCGCTGCGGCGGATGGGCCGAGCAGTGGCGCAGGCTGGTTTCATGCCGTGCGCCGGCTGGGTGGAGACGCTGCTTCCGCGCGCGGCGGGCCTGCTTCAGCAGGCTGCTGCTGCTGCTGCTGCTGCTGCTGCCCGCGGCCCGCGCCAGTGGCGCCGAGGCCGATTGGCGGGCGGCGCTGCGGGCGCGGCTCGCCGCGCGCCCTGGCGCGCCCGAGGCGCCTGGCAAATTAGTTGAATTGGCGGCGCCGCCCTAGGCGGGGGAGGGGGCCGCGTGCCCGCCGCTGCCCCCCCCCCCCTCCTCCCCCTCCCTCCCTCTCCCTGCGTGTCCGATGGCGCCCGATGGCCGGCGTGGCCGACGGGCTCGGCGGAGCTGCGAATGCCGCCGTCCCGTCTGCTAAGTGGCCGCGGTGCCCGCTAATAGCCGTCTGCTAAGAGGCCGCTGTGCCCGCGAATAGTTCCAGCATGGTGCTATGTTCCAGTCGGTTCAGCCATCCCAGGGCACTTCGTGCCACGGTCGGGCACGATCCAAAGAGGCCTGAGGGCGACGAGGAGAAATGAGGCCTGGGGGCGAGGCAGAACAAAATATGAATGTGATGACATAATGCAGGAAGGTCTGGTTGGGGTCGGTTCGGGCTAGTTTGGAGGCAGCTCGGCTCGGTTGCGTGGGTTCGGTTTCGGCGGCGGGCCAGTTCGGCCGGTTCAGTTTTGGTATGGTCGTTCGGACCGGGTCGGCTGAATGGGTTGGGGCCCAGACCCCTCCGGACCCCTTGGGGTCCCTCGTGCCCCTCCGAGCCCTTGCGGACCCCTTGAGGCTCCTTCGGGCCTTTTCAGAGCCCTTCGGGCCCCTTCGTGCCCCTCCAGGCCCCTCCAGATCTCTTCGGGCCCCTTCGGGCCCTTTCGGGCTCTTTCGGGATCCCCTGGCCCCTCCGGGCCCCGCCGAACTTTTTCGGGCCCCGTCGGGCACCTTCGGGCCCCTCTGGGCCGCTTCGGGTCCCTTCGTCGGGCCGCTTCGGGCCAGGCCGGGCCCCCAGTCAGGCTCCTTCTGTCCCCTCCAAGCCCTTTCGGGCCCCTGCGGGCCCCGTCGGGTCCCCGTCGGGCTGCATCGGGCGCCTCTGGGCTCTCGACGTCGCGCCCGCCCGTCGAGAACGTAACATAATTTGTCGTAGCATAGTATAACGCGACTCAACACAAGTTACCATAGTAGAACTTAGTTCTCAAGAATGTAGCAACGACCGGTTGACGGCGTACCATCAAACCCATCATGTTCGCTGACGCAAGGCCGTGACGTGGCATAACATAATGTAACAATATCTGCGAGACGATGATATTACATGTCGTAGCCGTGCGTCGTGTAATGTAATCGTAAAGGAAGGGGCTAGGGCAGAACATCATATACGTTGTGACGTATCAAATGTGACAGGCCTCGCGACATCACGCCAGTTTGTCGACTTCACACCACAGCACAAAAGAGGACATCGGCATATTATTACTGGGCAGAACCGAACATAGCACTACAGTGTACTACAGTCGTGATGCGAACATTCCATGACCACGCATCAAGCGCACCACGTTCACCCCGTCACACATTCCAGGCGTTACGACGCCACCATCGCCCCGCAGTGCCCGAAACGCATCCAGTAAGGGTTCGGTGGGGATCGCTCGAAACAGAATGTTTTGAACATCGTGCCCCGCCCTCTCCAGAGCCGCGTTTGCATGTCCACAGGGCTTTGGGATCCGTCCTCCACAACTCAATCATCAGCCCTTCAGCCCCCAACCCGACGCTGCGGAGGGGGCCCCGCGTGCCCTGCCCTCTCGCGCTGGCCGCTGCAGCCCCTGCACGCGCGGCGGCGCCCGTGTCTGGCTGTTGGCGCACTGGGAAAGCAGGGCGAGTATGAGCAGGCCAGGGCCGTGCTCCCAGACACCTTCCGATCTGCTTTTCAATCCACCGCGGCCTCTGCGGCGGGGCTGGCCGCGCCACACGCTCGGTGAGCGGTCTGACCCCTGAGCCGCCCGTCCCGTTCCTACTTTCCTTCGGCCGCGTCCTCTCCTCGTCCTCCTCCTGCATGGTGGCACAAAACGCTCTAACCTAACGGCATCCCCGTTTAAGCCCCCATCGCCAGCGCAGTCACCCTTTGCTTAGCCGGCGACGCAACATGATCCCTGCAAATCAACCTAACAGCGATGTGTAGGAGCATATCTGGAAGCATTCCCCTTAAGATTCAGATGAGAATCCAGTTGTAGAATTCCGCTGTTCTCGCAGTCGTAGTCGCATTCGCGATGACAGTCGCAGTGGCAACGGCAGTCGCAGTCACAGCCTCAGCCTCAGCCTGCCTCAGCCTCAGCCTCAGCCTGCCTCAGCCTCAGCCTGCCTCAGCCTCAGCCTCAGCCTGCTTCAGCCTCAGCCTCAGTCTGCCTTCAGCCTCGGCCTCAGCCTCAGCCTGCCTCAGCCTCAGCCTGCATCAGCCTCAGCCTCAGCCTCAGCCTGCCTCAGCATCAGCCTGCCTCAGCCTCAGCCTCAGCCTCCTGCCTCAGCCTCAGCCTGCTTCAGCCTCAGCCTCAGTCTGCCTTCAGCCTCGGCCTCAGCCTCAGCCTGCCTCAGCCTCAGCCTGCATCAGCCTCAGCCTCAGCCTCAGCCTGCCTCAGCATCAGCCTGCCTCAGCCTCAGCCTCAGCCTGCCTCAGCCTCAGCCTCAGCCTGCTTCAGCCTCAGCCTCAGTCTGCCTTCAGCCTCGGCCTCAGCCTCAGCCTGCCTCAGCCTCAGCCTGCAGCCTCAGCCTCAGCCTCAGCCTCAGCCTCAGCCTCAGCATCAGCCTGCCTCAGCCTCAGCCTCAGCCTGCCTCAGCCTCAGCCTCAGCCTGCTTCAGCCTCAGCCTCAGTCTGCCTTCAGCCTCGGCCTCAGCCTCAGCCTGCCTCAGCCTCAGCCTGCATCAGCCTCAGCCTCAGCCTCAGCCTGCCTCAGCATCAGCCTGCCTCAGCCTCAGCCTCAGCCTGCCTCAGCCTCAGCCTCAGCCTGCTTCAGCCTCAGCCTCAGTCTGCCTTCAGCCTCGGCCTCAGCCTCAGCCTGCCTCAGCCTCAGCCTGCATCAGCCTCAGCCTCAGCCTCAGCCTGCCTCAGCCTGCCTCAGCCTCAGCCTCAGCCTGCCTCAGCCTCCTCAGCCTCAGCCTGCAGCCTCAGCCTCAGCCTCTGCCTTCAGCCTCGCCTCAGCCTCAGCCTCAGCATCAGCCTCAGCCTCAGCCTGCAGCATCAGCCTCAGCCTCAGCCTCAGCCTCAGCCTCAGCCTCAGCCTCAGCCTTCAGCCTCAGCCTCAGCCTCAGCCTCAGCCTCAGCCTCAGCCTCAGCCTCAGCCTCAGCCTCAGCCTCAGCCTCAGCCTCAGCCTCAGCCTGCCTCAGCCTCAGCCTGCATCAGCCTCAGCCTCAGCCTCAGCCTGCCTCAGCATCAGCCTGCCTCAGCCTCAGCCTCAGCCTGCCTCAGCCTCAGCCTCAGCCTCAGCCTGCTCAGCCTCAGCCTCAGTCTGCCTTCAGCCTCGGCCTCAGCCTCAGCCTGCCTCAGCCTCAGCCTGCATCAGCCTCAGCCTCAGCCTCAGCCTGCAGCCTCAGCCTCAGCCTGCCTTCAGCCTCGGCCTCAGCCTCAGCCTGCCTCAGCCTCAGCCTGCATCAGCCTCAGCCTCAGCCTCAGCCTGCCTCAGCATCAGCCTGCCTCAGCCTCAGCCTCAGCCTGCCTCAGCCTCAGCCTCAGCCTGCTTCAGCCTCAGCCTCAGTCTGCCTTCAGCCTCGGCCTCAGCCTCAGCCTGCCTCAGCCTCAGCCTGCCTCAGCCTCAGCATCAGCCTGCCTCAGCATTCAAAATGTGGCCCGGGAATGGAGTTCTGGGAACTCGAAGACACGAAGTGGCCTACAGTTGGCTCCGGGCATTCAAAATGTGGCCCGGGAATGGAGTTCTGGGAATTCGAAGACCACGAAGTGGCCTACAGTTGGCTCCGGGCATTCAAAATCATGCCCAGGAATGGAGTTCTGTGAACTCGAAGACCACGAAGTGGCCTACAGTTGGCTCCGGGCCTTCAAAACCATTCCCAGGAATGGAGTTCTGTGAACTCGAAGACCACGAAGTGGCCTACAGTTGGCTCTGGGCATTCAAAATCATGCCCAGGAATGGAGTTCTGGGAACTCGAAGAACACGAAGTGGCCTGCAGTTGGCTCCGGGCATTCAAAATCATGCTTAGGAATTGAGTTCTGAGAACTCGAAGACCACGAAGTGCGTTACTGTTGGCTAAAAAAGGAGTCCCCGGATTTCCGCGGCAGTCCCGAATTCCCGCGGCACCCGTCCGGCATCTGCCCAGACCCCCTGGGGAGTCATGATGCTCTCTTTTGAGACCACTAGAAACCTATCAGTCTTCGCTGTTAGGTAAAAAACACTCTTTTCAGTCCGCGGCCCAAAAGCTCCCGATCCTTCCCAGGGGGGAGCTTTACGTTCCGGATCCGTCTTTGATGTCCCCAGGGCCCAATACCTGGCTCCGGAGGCCGACATGAAGGAAGAACGCCGGGAGTACAAATCCATATCGTCGAAGGTCTGGGGCTGAGGCTCCCCGTCTGGCGGAAAGGTATCTTTTGAGGGATGGTCGTTTTCACAGGCGGCGCGGCCTTGGTCCGCCCTGGGACCGTCCAAGCGTCTTGGGCCGTCCCTGGCCCGGCCCCCGCCCCTGCCCGGCCTCAGCCTGGCGCTGTGCCTTGGCGGGGTCGCATCCCTCCAAGGGGATCCACGTGTCCGCTACGCGTAGTGGTGACCTTATGCTGGGATGACCTCTGGTGTGGGCAGACAGGGGCAGCGCTGGCCGGCCTGTGCGCTGAGATCCCCCCTCCTGCGGCGGCTTGAAAGCCGTGCGCTCAAAGGTTGCTTTTGCACATGGCCAATCTCACGTGTAGCCAATTTTCCTGTTCTTGCGCAGCACGTTGTGGCCGCGGAAGGACAGCCGGGCAGCGCTGCTCGCGTACGACCTCCAGGTGGACAGGTTCGACAAGCGGAAGGGCAAGCGCTCCGGCACTTGGCGCGCCAGCCTGGGGTCCCTCATGCGCGAGGTCCCCGGACGGGACTGGGATTTCGCTGTGCGTCGTGCAGCTGTGGGGCAGTCGTCGGGCGTTTTTGAACAGAGGGAAATCTTACCGTCGTCCTCCCCCTCCTGATCGAATGGCGCTCTCTTCAAGAGGGGCTCACATGAGCCCCCAGCCAGGGCGGATGGTTGGGGCCTGGGTGGTTTTCGTCCGCTGCGCAGGGCGGGATAAAGGTACTCGCAGCTGATTATGAGCTCAAAGCTCCGCACCTGCGGTCCCTCCAGCCATTGAGGGGCCCCAGACGGCGCTGCGGAGCGTGACGCTTCCTCCTGCCAAGTCGAACCGATCCTTCGTCACTCCTCCCGTGCCTCTCTCCATGTTTGGCGGTCGGCACATCGCGCGGTCGCGCGCGGTCGCGCCAGGCCAGGAGGGCCCCCCCCACGCCCCGACTGCCCCGTCTGGCCAGCATGGGGGCGCCAGCCGCCTCGAGGGCCAGCTGGTCTCCCCGCTCCTTGGCCGACCCCCAGGCCCCTCCCCTCGGGCGTTGCGTGAATGGGGGGGCGGCGATGACTGAAGGGGTGCAGAAAAGGTTTTTTTTGTGTGCCCCACCCATGAGGGCCCCAAAGGGTCCCCCACACGCAGTCCCACACTTGAGCTCACCCCGGTGATGCTCTAACATGTCCTTGACTTGACCGAGCTCAACAGTTGAAATCGACGACGCCTGCGGCGAACCATCTCTGCCCCCCCTGCCTTCTGGAAGCGCATATGTGGCCAAACGTTGGGCCAACGTATTGTCAAGCTATTGGGCTACGTGCTCCCATAGCCGTCGTGGAAACCCTTGGGGGGAACACTTGTGGTAGGAAGATAAAAGGAGGAGGAGGAGGAGGAGGAGGAGGAGGAGGAGGAGGAGGAGGAGGAGGAAGAGGGTCAGTGGAGTCCGTCGCCATTTCGGCTCAATGCTGAATGGATAATGCTAACGTAACACAGCTAACTCTGAGTAGCTTTGACCCGTCCGTCGTCTCTTCTGAGCGGGGACAGGGTACACCAACATCCGATCCTGTCGTGAGTCTGCCCTGGCCCCAGCAGACTTCAAATTCTTTTCCACGAAACGCCGTTTCGGCCCGACTTTCCCCCCGCGCGCGCCCAGCCCGAAGGGCGCCGATGATCCCAGTGCGTGCCTGTACTCCCCGCGGCCTTGCGATGGGCCCACCGCTGCCAAGAAAGGTACGCCTCGGGCTGGTGGCGGCGGGTCACATTCGGCACCATGCACACACTCAAGCTCGATGACGCTGAGAAGGCGTTGATTTCCCACATCAGTGACCAGACGGGCACGCCCACAGAAGCTGTGGTCTCCCAGTAGGAGGAGGTCAACACTTAGGTCCCACAAAAGCGACTGGAGCTACGGAAGAGACAGTCTGCCTTTGAAGCTCAGCAAGTGGATCTGCGCGCGCAGTTGGAGCAGCTGCGACGCGATATGTACATCGCTGAGTCGACAAGGATTACGACATCTTGCTGGAGCGGGATCGGGGCCCAGATGGCACGATCCTGGTGGTCGCGACTACGGCCAAAGGGGAGGCCGAGAAGGTCAAGGCGCAGCTCGCAGTCTGGCTGCAAGGCGCTGGTCTCTCAGCAGAGCAATGGTCTCTTCAAGGTGCGACGCTTGGCAGGCGCTTCGTGGTGCAGACGTCGGGAGACACTAATTCGGCGGTGCGTGAGGTCAAGTTGGCGAGGCACTCCCTTAAGCTAGCGGACGTCGCGTGGCGCCCGTTTGACGTGGACACGGTGGAGGTGGCTCGTCCAGGATCTCCGTGAGCGTCGACAAGGCGGCTCGCATAGTCAGGCATGAGATTCAGTCCAGGCGCCTCGCCAGCATCGCGAAGGAGCTCTACCCGAACAAACGCATCATTCATGACAAGACGCAGGGCATCATCTGCATGGAGAGTGTTCCGCCCGTCCAGCTCGACATTGGCTCCGGGAAGGATCAGCAGACGAAGCCTCCTTGGAACTGCTCGGCGGTATGTGATCAGGGTGTGGACAAAGACAGTTTGCTGGCCCGTTTCCATGCAATTTGTCGCGCCTCTGATGATGCGGTGGCAGATTTAACATGGCGGTGCAAACACGATTGGAAGACATCCAGGACTTGTCGGGGCAGTGCATGTCGTCCTTCGTGACATGGGACACGCGTGCTCTTCTTCATCCTCTTCCCTCGGCTCGTAAAATCAAGTGTGCTCGGCTGGCCGCTCGTATCTCTCTTTTCTCTCATCAGTCCTTTCTCGCGTTGCAAGGGGTACGTGGCACGGCTGATGAAGTCGATAACCACGCTTATCTTTCGCGCAATCGAGTGACTACATTTCCCTCTATGCCCCGCCATGGTGCTGGTGGCATTTCGCTTCTCATCGCCGGGCTTCTCATAGCGAGAGGCTCGTGGCGCGATGGCTGGTGGCCGCATCTCCCGCGAGGTCATTGTGCCATGATATGTTCATCGGTTGCACATCGAGGCGAGGGCGAACGCCTCGAGGTCGCATGACACGATGCTGGTGCTCTATAACGTTCACAAGCTTCAACCTCGATGCCAATGTGACAGATCGGCTGCTGGCGCGGATCTCGGCTGAGGTGGCGATCTCGTCGGCCAGCCCCGCGCGCTCCACCGTCGTGGTGCTGGGCGATTTCAACTACCATTGGAAAGCGGCCATGTTCCTCGATGTCCCTGAGGTGGGCAAGGGGTTGCTGTCTGTTCCGAGTGCTCTGGGATGCGGGCAAGAGTGGGGCTAAAGCGATGGGTGACTTGGTGGAGCTGGACCCTGATATGCCCACTCGCTACATCGCTGAGCTGGGGCGCATCACCCAGCTGGACTACGTCTTCATCAGCACCCTTGGTTGGCTCCTGCTCCAGTCGAACGTCGCGCCGACGGTGCTGGACAGGCCCGAGGATCTCAACGACCGCGGGGCCCCGGACCACGCGCCCGCGGGGGCGACGTTTGCAGTCCAATCTTTCCCAAACTTATGCAAGAGCAGTCTCTCCGTCGATGTATTTGTCAATCTCCTGAATTCTCCCGCCTGCCTTGCTCTGCTGCTGCGCCCCCCCCCCCCGCTCCCTCTCCTCTCGATGGCCAGGTAGTGATATGGCGCGAATATGCGCGTTTGTTTCGAGAGGCTGTTCGCGCGGCCAGAAGCTCTGATGCGCGCCCGGGCTCATGGGCTGCAAACGCTGGCAGATTTTTCGCCCAGTCTCCAGGGTCCACCTAAACGACGTGACTCTTGCATTTCTCCTGTTCGCCTCTGCCCCCGCCCGCCGGCGCCCACCCCCAGTCGCGGCCAGGGGGGCGGCGTCGCCGAGGTCTGGGGTTGACTTTCGTCGGGGGTGCGATTCCCTCCACCGGCAGCTTCTGGATCGGAGGTTGGCAGCAGGAGGGTCGGCTGTCGCGGCGTTTCCTGCCTTCCAGGGGAAAGGGCGCCTGCGAGCGCGCGCGAGAGGGGAGCGTAAGAGAGGTAAGTTGTGGGCCCCCATGAAGACGCACTCTTCCTGCGCAGGCTTTGCGCGGCCCTCGGGGCAGCGCAGCCGCTGACGCGAGTGCGCCCTGATAACTGCGCTTCGTACCCACTGTGCGCCTGTTTTCTCGTGGTCGCGAGTCCCGAGGGGTTTCCTTGCCAAGTGTGCTCCGAAGAATGTGAAGCCCTTGGGCTCTCTAGCTCGCAGGGCTGGCTGCGCGAGCCTTGGGGCGCCCCACTACGCGCCGAAGGCAACGTGGCGCACTCAACTTGTCACGTCGCAGCGCCGACGGAGCGGGGGACGTGCCATTCAGTTCTAGCTGCTACATGGCAGCGCACCGCGGCGGAATATCAGTTCGTGCTCCTCTTCTGGGGCCCCTCTTGAAGGTGTCCTTGGGCCCCTTTGGGCCCTTGTTGAAGACTCTTCGGCCGTGTTTGGGGGCATCTTGACTACTGCGCCCGCTTGGACGCTCTGAACACTAAAGAAATAATAAGAGCGCTCCAGCAGGGTCATCGCCCCTCAGGATACGGTGGTGTATTGTTACAATGAGAGAATGATAGACGTTTCATTCTTTCAAATTGTCACCCCAGGTCCTCTGGGCTGGAATATCGACAGAGCGAAAGATCTTTCAATCCGGAGGATCCGTGCTGAACGAATTTAGTAGTTCGTTGGTTTGCTTGGCCGGTCTGGCTGGAGACATCACTTAAGTTATTTATTGCTTCGCAGACCTGCGCCTCGGTGAGATCGGAATCGACGTCGGTGCCCGGGGAGGCAATCCCGACCAGAAGCTTGTAGATGGTGCGGCGTATTCGATTTAGCCTACTCTCCTCTTGCTTCTTGTCGACATGCGCATCACTATACTTGCGCGGCATAGGCGGGGCTAGGGAAGGTAGCAGGTTGCGGCCCTTCTTGCCTTCTTGGCCTTCAGCCCAACTTGTAACTGGAAAACATAAATGTATTCCATTTTGAGTACCTGCCGGCCTGCTCCTCCCGGCGGCGCTCGCAGCTACGCAGGATAGGGGCGGGCCGCGGCCCTCCAGCCAGGCGGCGCCAGGCGCCGCATCAGGTGGGAGCTCTTGCACGCGCGTTCGCATCACAGACTGACTAAACTAAATCGCGCACGGGCTTATAGCAGCGGCGGGGCTGCGTGGCAGCATTTTGCTGCCACCCTCCCCCCTTGCACTCTGCCTTTGCTCTGGATCTGTGCTGCGCGATTCGATGCAACACAAGGGCAGCAAAGAAGCCAAGCAACAAAATGCGATGCAACACGCTGGAAGCAAATGGCAAAAGCACAGAAATCAGAGAACCGTTTTCCAGTCACCTGGGACATTCCCTCCGGTGTCACAGGACACTGACACTGCAGTGCTTTTGCTGGCCATGTGCTGGCCTGGCTGGCGTATCACTCGCAGCCATTTTCATTACATTTAAGATTGACATATATGTCAATCCATTAGGTCCGGATTGAACTCTTGAAATATTGAAAGGTGGACTGCAAGATCTTTCAACTTTGCAGTCTTTCAATCTGAACGCTCCAGATGTAGGGTTATTTTTTGTCCACTCTGTACCATCTGGGTCGACAGATCTCCCAATTTTCCGATCTATCAGTCTGGAGGGTCCGTGCTGAAAGATCTTTCAAATTGCAACCTGTCAAGCCTTTCAAATGTTTCAAACCCAACTGTTACATCCCCGAAAGGTGCAATCGACGTCCTGGAAGAAAGCGTTCACGATTCGCAGCCACTTGGAGCCCGGTCCGGTCGAAGTAACTAGCACCTCAGCCGCGCATCCCTTCCGCTGCTCCCTGCCCTCTTCATCCTCATTCTCTGCTCATCGCTTCTCCTCCGACCTTGCCCGTTCCACCCCGAGCAAAAGACAACGGGCGAGGTCGACCGCGTGCGAGGGCCTGTGCCGTTCACGGCCGAGTTCCCCAGCGCCGCGTCCAGCAGGTCGTCGAAGAAGAGCGAACCGCCCGTGGAGTTCAGCCTGGACCTGTACTGCAAGCGGCCCTGGGCGAGCCCCAAGGAGCAGCTCGAGGCCGGCAGACCGAGTTCCGCGGGGCGCAGCCCTGTGCGGGTGGATGCCAGGGTTAGGTCGGGCACGTCCCTCTACAAGTGGAGTGTTCAAAAATAGTCAAAAGATAAGAAGGGGACGATTTCTGGACTGTTTTTGTCCATTCTGGGGTATTCTTTGGGTGCTTTTGATTTTTCGTCAAAAATCCGCCTGTAGGGGGACATGCCCGACCTAATGCCAGGGTTCGACAAAAAAAAGCGGCATGAACATGCATTTTTGGCGCTTGATGCGGATTTCTTGGATCCGCGCTGGGCCCCTGGCGCGCCCGCGCCTGGGGCGGGCTGTGCTCGGAGCCGGATCGGGCGCCAAAGCTACACCTGCACCTGTCCTGGCCAGGCCGCAGCTGGGCCCAGGATTGGTGCATCCGCCCTCGTGGCCGAGCCGGGAGGGCGTATGCACACCGATCCTGGGCCCAGGGTGGGCCTGGCCAGGGCCGGTGTTGGTGTCGGTGGGCCCAGACGTCCGGCACTCCGCTTCTTTGGGAGACAAGGGCCCCCGACCTCTCCACCACTTCCCCGCGCCGGCTCCTCGTCGGAGCCGTTTCTTGACGGCCCCGAGGCCCGGTCAGGGCTCCCAGAGGCCGAAGACTGGGAGGAGCTTGTGGCTAGACCTTTTCGAGACGTTGGGCGTCTGCGCAGTTGTCGTGGAGCCCAGTTCCGCTCCGAGCCGAGCGCCGCTGGCTTCGCTGTTTCCTTCCTCTGCTTCGGCGCGGCCCGCCCTAGCTTGCACGGCGTTCGACTCGTCTTCGCGCGCCCGCGTACCAAGGAACGTCTGCGCAGTTGTCGCCCACCTGCAGGGGCCCAGGCCTCCATCAGCTGCGCCTCGCCAGCAGCCCGTCGGGTCCGCCGCCGCCGTCCCGTGCGGCGCCTCCAGGGCGCGGAAGGGCCTCGGGCGCCGGCCCTGTGGACAGGGCCGTTTTTCCGGGGGGGGGCCCAGGCCGTCCTCGAATGGCTCGTGTCCGAGGCGGGGATTTATCCATAACCTCGAAGGAGGAAAGACGCCACAAACATAAACTTTTGGCGAGGGGGGCCCAGCGCGGATCCAAGGCATCCGCGCGGAGCGCCAACAGTTGATGTTTATGGCGTTTTTCTTCTTCTATAGCCACAGCCTGGGGGATCGATCTTTGCGGACCTCCACAGGCGGCGGCTGTGGATGTACTCGGGCCTCCGGGGCTCGAGTGTATCCGTATCCATCTGGATACGCGAGGTCAGGGTTGTTGTGGTGGGCCTGACAGGCTGCGTGAGGAGTACACGTGATGCGTCGCGGTCAATCAAAGTATGATATGCGATGATCTGCTATGATCTGATATGCCGTGAGATGGTATAGCATGGTATGGTATGGCATGATCTGATTTGTTGTGATACATGTATGTATGTATGTATGTATGTATGTATGTATGTATGTATGTATGTATGTATGTATATATGTATGTCTGTATGCATGCATGCATGCATGCATGTATGTATGTATGTATGTATGTATGTATGTATGTACATATGTATGTATGCACGTATGTGTGTTCTTATATATTTTTGTATGTATGTATGCACGCATGTATGTATGTATGTATGTAGGTATGTATGCATGCATGCATGCATGTATGTATGTATGCATGCATGCATGCATGCATGCATGCATGTATGTATGTATGTATGTATGTATGCATACATACATATATATATACATATATCCATGTCCAGCGCCTGCTGGAGCACAAGGACGTCGGATCCCAGGCGGTGGATATGGATAAACCCCCGCCCCGCGCCGTGGTCAAGGAGGGGAAGGGGATGTCCGGGCCTTGGCAGGGCGGGGCACGGGGCGGGCGGGCTGCAGACCCCATCCCCCCAGCTGTCCGACGACGCGCTCTTTCAGGCCCGGCGTTTTCTGTTGGTCGATTTTTCCCAAGCGTTTTCTTTGGGTGGAGGGCAAAGGCTAGGGTGACATCTGACATGCCGTTTCGATACATTTTCGAGGCTTGAGTCTGCAATCGGTGAATCACAAGACGGACTTGAATCACAAGACGGATTTATTCCGAGGTGCAAAGCCCATACGAATGTCACGCTGAGCCCTCCACCCCGAGAAAATTCCCAGTGTCCGGCCTCCGGGGCCCGTTGCTGGGCCCCGGTCGGACCTGGGCCCGGGACGAGCCCTAGGGTCGGCCCGAGGTATAAGATCGAGGTCGGTTCGGGGAGGGAGCCCTACTGTTCGTCGGGTGCGTTGGACGTTCTTGTGCTTCCCAGGGGAGGGCACCCTCAGGTGATCTCAGGGTCTTTGGCCGGCGCAGGGTCTCATGTTCTCGATGGACGTTCTTCTATCTCAGGTCCGACTGTGCCTTTATGGGCAGGGGCTTTCACTCCCCGGGGCCGCGCACTGAAGCGACCGCGTCGTCGGATGACTCGGCCTTGGCCCTGGCCTCGCGTTTTCGGACACCCAGCGAGGGCGCGGGCGCAGAGACGCCCAGCGGTGTCCAGGCCTGCGTGCTGCCGAGCCGCGCCCTGCACCCGCACGGGGACAGGCCGCGCCTGGTCTCCTACTACTGCTGCATCGTTGCAGAAGGCCGGGGGCAGCGATCAAGCGGGGGGAGGCTGGGCAGAGGGGGGGATTATGGGGGGCATAGGTTGGGGGGAAACAGACAACGGGGTCGTCTGCGCCGACACTGGCGCGTAAGTTGCCTCGTTTCCACTGTGGCGTGCGGCGCTGGCGGCCCGCGTAGGCCACTGCGTAAGGTCGCTGTGCTATCCCGCGTAAGACGCGATTTTGATCGTCGCTCATGTGTGTTTGTTTGTCTGTTTGTTTGTTTGTTTGTTTGTTTGTTTGTTTGTTTGTTTGTTTGTTTGTTTGTTTGTTTGTTTGTTGTGTGTGTGTGAGTGTGTGTATGTGTGTGTGTGTGTGTGTGTGTGTGTGTGTGTGTGTGTGTGTGTGTGTGTCAGGGCCCTCGGCTTGCGTATCACCTCAATGCACCTCACTGCCATCGATGCCCGAATGTGCTGCATGGCGGCAGATGATGCGGGATCCAGAGCGATCAATGATGGCCCAGCCGCGTCCCTGCACTTAGTAACTGCACTGGCTACGCTGGTCGCTTCGCACGAGGCCGCTTCCACCAGAAGTGTGTGTGTGTGTGTGTGTGTGTGTGTGTGTGTGTGTGTGCGTGCGTGCGTGCGTGCGTGCGTGTGTGTGTGTGTGTGTGTGTGTGTGTGTGCGTGCGTGCGTGCGTGCGTGCGTGCGTGCGTGCGTGCGTGCGTGTGTGTGTGTGTTTGTGTGTGTTTTGTGTGTGTGTGTGTGTGTGTGTGTGTGTGTGTGTGTGTGTGTCGTGCGTGCGTGCGTGCGTGCGTGCGTGCGTGCGTGCGTGCGTGCGTGCGTGCGTGCGTGCGTGCGTGCGTGCGTGTGTGTCGGAGGGGCTCGTTGCGAAGACATCAGGTCGTTTGGTCGGCGAAGGAGCCAAGGATTTCGGCGAAGGGATTCGGCTTATGGACGCTCTAGCGTTCCACAGGTTGTGGAAGCTGGAGCGTCTATACACCGAGCTCCATGCAAGGCAAATCGACGCGGTGTAGACACCGAGCCCCTCCCAGTGTGGTCGGCCCAGGGAGTGTCTGCCTGCGCTAGGGCCTACCCCGGCCGGGGAGATGCCCCCCCCTCCACCCCCCTGCCCTCCCAAAAGGCCTTCCACGGCAGCACAGCGCGTATGTCCGGATCATAGTGGGAAACGGCGACGCTGGGCCGCGGGAAGGCCAGGGTAAGCAGGCCGACGCTGATGCGGACCCGGATAAGCTTTGCCACTATGAGTCGGACCGCATTTTGACAGACTGGACAACCCAGCAACTCATGTGGCGCGACATCCAGGTCATTCTGCCGCTGTCGGACTGTCGCGTCCGGGTGCAGATCTGGAGCGAGGCGAGCCAGACTCTCTCAGGGTCTGTTCTAGGCCAGCAGGACGACAGGCTGGTGTGTCAGGCTGTGATTAGCCCTGTCTCGAGCAAAGCCGACAATTGGTACCACTGTTACGGTGGCGCTCGTGATGCCAACAGGGCAGAGGAGGCCCGCCAGATGGCATTTGGAATTATCCACCCCGCCAGCACGTATTGGTGCAGTGTTGGCATGCGGTTATCATTTTGGCCCTCCAATGCGCTCAGCCAAGATGCTCAACATTGGAGTTACCTATCGCTAGATCACCCTGGATGGCAGCTCAAGGAAGAGAAGTTTATGAAAGAGGTTTACGCCGTTCCGACGACCTTCAAAAGGTGGATGGGCGAGTGCAAGTCTTTTCGCGTCCCGTATCCCCAGCAGCCCATCCATAAACGATGTTCAGTCGAACACTGGGGAGTGTGGAAGCCAATGAGCATACAGTGAATTAACACATTCGACAGTGCTGAACTTGATCTCTGGGAGCCTCCTGGGAGAAGTCTTGGAGGTCGGGGCCAAACTGGAGCCATCTTGGAGGCTATCGGTTCCGAAAGGGGCGCTTGGAGGCAGAACATTCGCCTCCTGGGACGCTCTTGCGACGCTCTTGGGGGCCTTCGGGGCCGTCTCGGAGCGCTTCTGGGCCTCTCCCGGGTGATCTTGCTTTCAGACAGCTTCAGCCTCCTCGGCTGTAGGCCGCCGTGCTGTACCCTGTATAGGATGTCGGCCTGGAGATTCGATCGCGGATCTAGGTCGGTTTCTCCTTCACTCAGGAGGGAAACAAACACACAGACACAAGTAATCGTCGACTCCCAGGAAAGTATGAGACAATATGGGAAGTGGGGGGGAAGACGAAAATCCAGAAAATATTGAAAAATATGGGGGATCCTGGGATTTGTGTGTATTTGTTTGTGTGTCCTTGGGCCCCTTTAAGGATGTCGGCCTGGGGACGCGATCGCGGATCTGGGTCGGTTTCTCCTTCACCCTTCACTATCGGACAGGCCTTACGGCCGGTGCCGCCGACCCTGCACGACGACGACGACGACGATGACGACGACGACGACGAGGGCAAAGGCACCCTGTCGCTAGCAACTGCAAAGCGATCTTGCCGCCACCTTTCTTTACCTCAGAAGTCCATCGGGAGCGAAGCAATGAAGGCACGGCAGAGCAGACATCGTTTGTTGCATGATTTTGGCCGCTCGGGGGTTTCCATTGGAAGGCTTCTTGGCCACTTGCAGCCGTCCTGGGGCCCCTTGGCTGAAGTGTGAGCTCTTTTGCAGCCGTCTTGGAGAGCATCCTGGGGATCTCGGAGGCGTCCGGCAGTGGATTCGGAGGCCCCGAGGGCCCAGGAGAGGAGCTGGGGAGCTCGGGCCCCCCTCCGTCCCCCCTCCCCCCCTCAGAAGGCATCGTGGAACCTGGGGAGGGGGGGCAAAGGGTTCTCTCGCACTCCGAGGCGGGAATTTCTGCATGGCCGCCGCCTGGAGGATCAATTTCGGGGATCTGGGCTGGCGGTGGATGTGGACACATTCGGACCCCCGGGGGCCAACATGTATCCACATCACACCGCCCGCTGGGGCACTAGGAACGTCGGTTCCCAGGCGGTGGATGTGGATAAAGCCCCGCCTCGCGCACACGCCATCTCACCCCTGGCAAGCGGCGGTCGGCGGACTCTGACCGTGCGGCTTCATCGTTGTCTTTACTTGAGCTCCTTGGCGGGGAGCCGCGTAACTGTGTTCGTGGAGCTCGCGGGGAATCATTTTGGCGGTCAGGCACCTCGGCCGCTGAGGGGAGGGGACTCCGCCAAGCTGAACACTGGCCGGGGAATAAGAGCAGGAGGAGGAGAAGGAGGAGGAGAAGGAGGAGGAGGAGGCGGAGGAGGAGGAGGAGGAGGCGGAGGAGGGGGAGGAGGATGAGGACGAGGAGGACGGAGGGAGGATGAGGAGGAGGAGGAGGAGGAGGAGGAGGAGGAGGAGGAGGAGGAGGAGGAGGAGAAGGAGGAAGGAAGAGGAGGAAGGCGGAAGGAGGAAGGAGGAAGGAGGAAGGAGGGAGGAGGGAGGAGTGAGGAGGGAGGAGGCAGGAGGAAGGAGGAAGGAGCCAGGCACCTCAGCCGCTGCTTGCGTTTCCTGGCAGCGTCAGTCAAGAAGGCGTCCTGCTCTTCCACGCCCCGACGGACCCCAGCGCCACCGGCTGCAGCCTGTGGTCCCAGGGAGCACCGCTCGGGCCGACACCCGTGACCCGACAGACCCCCCCCCCGAGGGAGCGGAGCTGTCTGGCGCCTGACCTGCGCTGGAAGCGTGTTTCCCTAGAGGGAGCGAGAGACGACCTCAACACAGCAGTCTGTCCTTGCAGTCAAAGCGCATCGAGCGACTTTCCAAGGTTCCCCTTGCAGACAGCCCTTCGGCTCATCCTTGGCCACTTTCGCTGGCCGCGCCCCGTTCGAAAGGTTTCGACATGTGTCAGCCACGCGCAGAGGGGTGCAGTGGGAGGGGGGCGGGCTTCTTAGAAGCACCCCTGCTTCTCAGACGGCGCGGGCCACATCTATAGATGTAGGGACATCGCCTTTGAGAGGCAGCCTCCTCCTATGAAGCCTTCCCCCCCTCCCCCTGCCCCCGTGCGCGCGCCGCCACGCCCGTCTCTATACCTGCCCCTCCTCCGCGCCCGTGCCTCGGGCCATGCTCTGCGACCCACCCCCCCCTCGGACGCCCCCCCTCTTCGGCCCCCCTCCCGGCTCGGACGCCCCCCTCTTGGGCCCCCCTCTTGGGCCCCCCTCTTGGGCCCCCCCCTTGGGCCCCCCCTCGGGGACCTCCAGCCCCGCTCCCGACACCCGCCAACGCCTCGCTCCAGAAGCCCCGACCGCGTCGCCGAGGGCCCCCGGGGGCCCCGCCCGCGGCACCCAGGGGCACGTCGAGCTCGAGGCCGCGCCGCCGGGGGGCAGAACGTCACGCCGCCGGCGCCTGGCTGCCCTGTGGCGCCCCTGCTGAAACGCCGCGCGTGCCGTGTTCAAAAGCGTCCGTGTCGCCACGCGGCGTGCCGGCTCAGCGTGTTGGCCCACGCGTGCACGCCTTCACCAGGCGTGTCGAGTTCCGTGTCGACACGCTGCGTGGTGCGTGTCGCGCATCGGGGCAGCCGGGCGTCGGAGATCCGAACTGCCTCCCACCAAATCGGGTGTCGCCAGAAGTGCCCCTGGCCCAACGTGCCCGCAGGATTTCCAGGGAGGCCCCCACGGCCTCCAGAGCTCCCCTCACGAGGCCCGGGGGGCCCCATGGGCTCCAAAGTGGAGCGAAAAGCTGGGGGCACCTCGGGCCAGGGGCACCTTGAGCAACCCCCGACCAGAGGTCTCCCCAGCCGGAGCCCGCGGCGGTCGAGCGGTGCACCCAGGAGCTGTCCGTGCGCCCGGGCGTCACCCACGCGTACGTGTACGTGGTGCAGGCCCGTGGTCGCGCGGCCCGCCGGGGGGCGGGCAACGTCAGGGGGGGAGACGGCCGGGAACTTTTGGTCAGCGTGTGGCGCCGCCGGTTATGGCCCACCACGCTTCGGCGCGCCACGCCATCCGCTTCCCGGTCCCAAGCGTCAGCGTCCCGAGCTTTTCCGAGCTTCCCGCCGCGCAGAGCGAAGCGACACGCTGTCCCTCTGCAGGGTCTATCGTGTCGCCGGGGCCGCCGCCGCGACGAGAGTTCCAAAAGTCCCCCACCGTAGGCTCAGGGGTTCGAGGTTTTCGGGCGTTGTCGTCGGCTCTCGGCGACTTTCTAGCCTCTGGGATGCCGTCCAGCGGATGCGCCTCGCCGAGAGCGTCCTGGTGGTGCCCGGGTCGTCCCGAACGGCCGCTAGAGACTTGAGTTATGACCCGAAAACCAAACGATGCGAAGCACTGAGGGTGGTAGGCTCAGGTGGGGACCCAGAGATCCGATGTCGTGATTTCTTCAATGCGGGTTCCCTGGAAGTCTCGACCCGTTCCCCAGGACCGGTTTCTCATCCCGAGCCGCTTTTTGGCGGCCCCGCGGCCCGGCGAGGGCCCCCAGAGGCCGAAAATTGCGAAAAGCCGCAGTTTTTTTTTTTTTTTTTTTTTTTTTTTTTCTCAGTGCGTTGGATTTCTGGGGATGCATCTAGAGGAAAAAGAACTATGCACATGCACCGATTCTGGCCAGGCCCATCCTGAGCCCAGGATCGGTGCATACGCCCTCCTACCTTGGCCAGGAAGGCATATGCACCGATCCTGGGTCAAAGATGGGCCTTGCCAGGATCGGTGCATGTGCATAATTCTCTTCGCCCGAGCATCTGCCCCCCAGTCGCCCACTGCTCGCGGCCAGGGGCTCGGCGGCCAGCCCCCTTGCCCTCGAGCGTGCGGGCTCGCCCGGGCACACGTCGCCGAGCGGTCCGCGGGGTGTGTTGCCGCTTCGGGGGCGAGGCTTCCCTCCGGAGCGGGTCCCCTCCTCACGTTTCCCCCCCCCCCCCTCCCCTCACCACCCACCAAGCCACCCCAACCCAACCCGAAGGCTCAGATTTACCCTCGATTTCTAGTGGGGGGGGGGTCGGGGAACATCGAGGAAACATGCAGGGAACCCGTACCCCCCCCCCAACCCGAAATTCGGGTCTTCGGGTTGGGTTGGGGTGGTCTGGTAGGTAGTCATCCCCTCTCTCCTCCCGTTCTGCGGTACGATCGAAATGGTCAAGTATCCTTTCTTCGGATGTTGACAGACCTCCTGCCCCAGCACACGTCGATTGGCGAATGGGCCGTTTTCGGTTCGCGAGAGGGCGTCGCGGCCGTCATTTCTGCGGGTCCAGGTCCGACGGTTTCGGTTCCAGGCGGTTTTCGCGAAAGGGAGGTTTACTAAAGGGGGGTTTGTCCACCGCCGAATCGAAATGGTTATCCCTTGTTTATTCCGCAATATCCACTGCTTCGTCATGTGCTTCATGCGCTTTGCGTGCACTCGATCTTCCTCACCCTCGCTCTGCAGGTTCGTTGTCGTTCACGGCCCTGTCTGGGACCTAGGCTTACATTGTAAGCCACCGCCTCGAATGCTGGACAACGTTTCTATTCCCAGCTTTCCCCCTCCCCATTCGTCTTCGTCTCAGTTTGTGTGGTTTTGCCCGCGCTGGTGCACCCCATCCCCACGGAAGGCTTTTTGCCGGGTATCCGGGGGCTCTGCACAGCGGGGTCGATGCACGCGTCATGGCGTGCGCTCGCAGAGCGAACGCTGCGGCGCGCGTTACGCTCGCCCATGTTTCAGGCCACGCTGCCGTGCATGGTCTTGCTTATCGCAGGTCGGCTCGTGAGCTGTCCCCCGTGTTCCTGGGAACCTTTTGACTCGCACAGCGGTCGAGGCCGAGGCGGGTTACCAGCTTTGTGGTCGCCTTTCCTCGTCCTCCTCCTCCTCCTCCTCCTCCTTCTCCTCCTCTCCAGCATTGCATTCAAGATAGTCATGGAACGAGTGGGTACGAAGACGGACAGCAGGTCCTGTTCCTTTTGAGCAGGGCTCGCTGTCGGTGCCGTCGCGGGCGCTGTCCACTCGAGACAGAAAAGGTCGCCTACCCCGCAACGGCCCCTGTCGGTTTGGGATAACATTTGCTGCTGGGCATCGCGCCCGCTTCTTCCCGTACCCATGTCGGGCGTGCAAATCTCCAGCTCCTACCCTGCTTTCCTCCTCTTACTCCTCCTCCTCCTCCTCCTCCTCCGTAGCGATTGTGGCTCAAGCCATCTTGGCTCAAGTGAGCAATGCATTTAGCTCCTGTGGGAGGACTCCTTTGCCTGGCCCGCCACAGGTTGCCATGGGCATTGATGGGAAAAACCTCATGAAGACAAAGCGAAGAAGCGTGAGAAGGAGCGGAAGGAGCGTGATTGCAGTGGGTCTTCCGGGCATTCTCGCAGCCTGTCTCGATCTTCTCCGAGGACCCCACGAGCTGCTCACGAAGCAGGACGTGATCGCGCGAGGGCCAGCGGTGCCCGCGAACTAGATGACGAGCTGGCTGCTGCCGCCGGTTTGTGCCCCAGTGCCGAAGATCGTGGAGGGGAAGGTGGAGCCGATGGAGTAGGAAGGCAGGGTGCTATCGACCTCTGGGCGCAGGCCAGCCTGCAGAAGGATATCAAGACGTGCAAATCCGACATGTTTTCTTAGCTCGGCGACATGGTGGCCAAGACAGTGGAGGAGCACATGCCCAATGCGATCACCGGAGCCGCAGGACCCCTGCTTCAGGAGTTCGAGACTCAGATCAAGAAGCGCCTGGAACGGATAGCAGAAGATCTTGAGTCTTAAGGCCAACGCCTTGATGGAGTGGATCGGAGGTTGATAGACCTCCTACCCTGACACGTCAATTAGCGAATTGGCCGTTTTCAGTTCGCGAGATGGCCGCGCGGCCGTCATTTCTGCGGGTCCAGGTCCGTCGGTTTCGGTCCTAGGTCGTTTTCACTAAACGGAGGTTTACTAAAGGGAGGTTTGTCCACCGCCGAATGGAGGCAGTTCAGAAGGAGATGGCCGCGCGCCTATCCAAATTGGAGGGCGAGCTCGTGTGCCGCCGGCCCGCTCAGAGCCGAGTGGGACTGGGAGGTGGACCCGTGATTCCTTATCATCTCGAGCAAGGATGACACACCGAAGCTGTCCGTGGCTCATCAGCCACGCGCAGAGGGGGGTGGGGGGAGGGGGGAGGGCTTCTTGGAAGCACCCCTGCTTCTTAGAAGGCGCGGGCCTCATCTATAGAGGTAAGGCAGGCGCCTTCTAAGAAGCAGCCTCCTTCTGAGAAGCCCCCCCCTCCCTCCACCCCCCTTGTTCGCGCCGCCAAGCTCGGGCGATCAAGCCATGGATGGACGACGTGGGCGACGGCGAGAACAACCAGTACAAGCTGGAAGGGCAGGATCTCGCCAGGTCCTGGTGCGATTCGCCGGCGCCCTCCAGGGGGCCGCGGAGGCCAGGATGCGGCATGCCTTCTCGGGCCTGCGGGTGGCGCCTGGACAAGGGCGTCGAGTCTCGGTCACGCTGCCAGCCTGGCAAGAGTGCGCATTCGCCGTCGGAGTTGACATTCCGACGACTCCGACGGCGAATGTGCACTCCGGCTTAGTGCCAGTCTAGTTACGTCTGTCTCATACCATTAGCTTTAAGCCTTCCGCTGGGGCGGAAATGCGAGCAATTATTATTAGGTCGCTGGTGGTTGGACTCGCTATCCGATGTCGTGATAGCCATCTGGTTCTTCCGGGGGGAAAATTCGCCGTCGGAGTAGACAAAAACCGCGGCGACCTTGCACGGGAGGTCGCAGCCAAGCGCCTCAAGGGGGTCGTCGAAGAGAAGTTGAGGGGTAGGGTCTCCGTGGCGCGCGAAAGTCGGGGATGCTTAGAGCGTGCGCCGGGAGCCTTTCTTGCGCGGTCGTCGCCCCCGACGCCCCCACCACCGCGCAGTCGAGCAGCGCTGCCGTGGTTGATCTCGACTGGACAAGCGGATACGCCCCCTAGGATCCTTCAGCTCAGCGATCTGGCCCCTGAGCGTCTCCGTGGCGACTGGGGAGGCGAGGATTACCGAAATGGATTCTGGCGTCCTGGAATACCGAAATCCATGAGTGAAGCACTTCGGTGTGTGCGAGGTTCTCCAGCGGGCGAACGTCAAGCATCGGATCGCTTCGTCTTTCGGACCTCGAGTGCACGTTGGAGGCATCGTCACGTTTGTACCTGATCGTGGAGGTCTTCAGGTGGAGGCCGAAGTTTTGGCAGCCGGACGGGCGATGTGCATCACACTTTCGTTCTCTTCCAGCCCCTGGCAACATTTGCCATTGGAGCGTTCGTAACTTTGAGCTTCGTCCAGCCGCTCTCCGGGCGGTTCAACACCGGGCTCAAGAGCAGCTTCGAGAAGCAGAGCGTGCTCCGGACCCGGGGATTACGGTCGGGGATTGCAATATCGAGAAGCACAGCCCGAGAAGTACAGCCCTAATCCTGATCGGGGATCACAATATCTTTAAGTCGGGCATGTCCCTCTGCAGGGGGAATGTTCAAAAATAGTCAGGCAATGGTGTGGGGATTATTTTTGGAGTATTTTTGGGCATCGTTTGAAGTTTTTTTTTCTCCTTATATATTATTATTATTATTATTATTATTATTATTATTATTTTTTTTATTTTTTTTCAAAAAAAACATATATTTCGTCAAACATCCCCCTGTAGGGGGACAGGCCCGACCTGACAGTACCTCCGACGGTCGTGGGGAGCACGGCCTCCCCCGTGCGGGCGGCCCGCGCGGAGGCGCGCACCCGCCTCCGCACCGGCCTCCGCGCGCCTCGCCGCGGAGGCCGGCCCGGGGGACGCAGCGCGGAGTCGGGGAGCAAGAAGTGACATACACCTTAGGCGATGCTTAAGAAAACCTAAATTTTCGGCCAGAGTCTCGATTATTCTTAACTTTTGAATGTAAATCCCAAGATTTTGATAGAAGTTCTGGGTTTTAGTCAATTTCTGAGACTATGAATTTCTTAACCCATGATTTCTTAAGCATTTCGCAGGGTGTAAACATATGATCCCGGCACAGCAACCTAACAGCGATGTGTATAAGCATTTCTGGAAGCGTTCCCCGTAAGATGCAGGTGAGAGTCCAGTTGTAGAATTCTGCTGTTCTCGCAGTCGCAGTCGCATTCGCAATGACAGTCGCAGTGGCGACGGCCTTAGGAACAAAAAGTGGCATAAACATAAGAACTCGGAGGTCCGCGCGGATTTCTCGGATCGGCGCTGGAGCCCCCTGGCGGCGCCTCCTGCCTCCAGCCTGGCCCCCACTTCGGCGCTCTGCTGCGCAGCTCCTATCCTCTGCTGCCTGCCTTCTGCTTTACGTCTCCTGCATTCTACTCGCTGCTCCTGATGTAGGGGAACAAAAAGTGGCATAAACATAAAAACTCGGAGGTCCGCGCGGATTTCTCGGATCGGCGCTGGAGCCCCCTGGCGGCGCCTCCGGTGCCGCCCCTGGCGCGCTCCGCGCGCCAGGGAGGGGGGTCCAGCGCCGATCCGCGCGGACCTCCGAGTTTTTATGTTTATGTCACTTTTTGTTCCCCTGCGGAGGGCACCACGGCGGCGGCTCACCGGGATCGTCGCGACGCGTTGGACGATTTGGCACGGGCCGGCACGCAAGGCCCACCGCGCAGACTTGTGGAAATCGATTAGTGGAGAGGAAGCGTGCTGCCAAATAATTTCCAGATGTCTAGAACATGTTTCAAGCATGTTTTGAAGATATTTGTATATAAACATGTTTGAAACATTTTTTTAGAACATGTTTTACACATTTTACATACATTTTTAGTTCAATGATCGGATTGTTAGAGTGTCCACTGTCATGGCATCCACAAGCTTAGACCGTGACGTCTGCGGCGGCGGTCCCGGTTGGTTCACCAACCAGTTCGGCCAGGAGCTCCAGACGGACGTCGGAGCGGAGGAATTGTTCAAGATGGGCTTCTCGGATCACGTCCCCATTTCTTTTTGCTGGCGCTCGCGCACAGACCCGTGCGGAGGCAAGGAGAGGCCTTTCCCTCCGAACGTTTGCTCGGATCCGTTGTTTGACAAGCTGGTGATCCATTACGACTCCTACGTCGACTACTCCTCCATGGACGTACCCAGCCAGGTCGACATGTCTGTACAGTGCCGCCCAGCAGCTGGAAAGGCCACCCTGACCTTGCAACTGAAGCACTCCGCGCACGAGATGAAATGGCGCGCCATGGTTGTCCGTTCCCTAGCCCTCGCGGTGGTCCGACCAGACATCCTCCTCGCCTGGGTGATATCGGCGCGTCAAACGTGGTCGCGCGAGTTCCTTTCTCCTTCTTCTTCTCCTCTTTCTTCTTCACCCGGAACGTTTTCAATCGCTACATGCTGATCTCTGCGCTACGTGCCTTGAGTGTGAGCCCCTCTGGCCTGCAGGCTCTGCTGCGAGGCAGGATGCACGTCCGCTAGGTCAAGATAGGTCCACTGGCCGTCACTGGCCCCCTCCCACCCCGTGGCCCTCCTCGTCTTCCTCCTCCTCTGGCCTCCTCCTCCTCATCCTCCCCCTCCTCTTCCTCCTCGTCCCTCCTCCCCCCTCCTCCTTCTCCTGTTCCTCCTCTTCCTCCTCCTCCTCCTCCTGCTCCTCCTCCTCCCTCCTCCCCCCGCCTCCCCCTCCTCCTCCTCCTTCTCCTCCTCCTCCTCCTCATTCTCCTCGTCCATCCCTTCTTCCCTTATGAATAATTCCTTTTCGCGCCCCAAGAAGTGTCGCTAGGGCGGGCTGGGCGTTTCGCCTGCCGGTTCTTAACCGTTTATGATCCCGATGCTTGAACTTTGCATCAGTTTCAAGGGTGGAGGGCAGATGGTCTTCAATATCTGGCTGTCGCTTTAGCGCCGCACACATTCTTTCTAAACGTCTGAAGCAGTTTTAAGAGCAGGGCGGTACGTTTTCGAAATGTGGCTCTCGACTTGGCGCGGCGCAGATTTGTTCCAAAGTTTGCAGCGGTTTCAAGGATCGAGGGCGGGTGGTTTTCAAAATGTGGCTCTCGCTTCAGCGCTGCGTGCAGTCGTCTTCAAGTTTGCAACAGCCCCAAGGATGGAGGACGGGTGGTTATCAATATGTGGCTTTCGCTTTAGTGCCGCGCGCATTCTTTTTAAACGTCTGCAGTAGCTTCAGGGGGTGGGGGGTGGTTCCTTTTCGAAACGTGGCTCTCGCCTGATGGCCGTGCTGCAGCAGTTTCAAGGGTTCGTATGGTTGAAGTCCCATGGACGGTGTTGTGGTACACGATTTGGGATTGACAGGACCCATCAGTCACATGGGCTCGCGGTGTTGAAGTCCCAGGACTGGTGGTCTTGAACGATTGAGGTTTGTCAGGACGCAACAGTCATGTTGATTCGTGGCGTCGCAGTCCCAGGAATGGTGTTTTGGCACGGTTGAGGATTCTAAGAGGGTCGTTTTCCAATGTGGCAGTCCCCGCAATGGCGACACTTTCTTGTAGGGTTTATGAAGAGTGAACTTGAAAGGGAGAGCTAATTGCAACATCGTTGATGCGTCTTGGGTTTACACTGGTCCTCCTCCTCTTCCTCCCCCTCTTTCTGCCGGCCCTAGTGAGAAGCCAGGGCCGTTGCACAACCAATCGGAGAGGATTCTGCCAGATGCGCGCAAGGCACCAGCGTAGGTGTTTTGACGCTGAACCCCCCTTGTGCGGACGCCCTTGTCCTTGCCCTCCCCCTCTTTGCTTCCCTCCCTCCCCTCCCTCCCTCCCTCCCTCCCTCCCTCCCTCCATTCCTCCTTCCCTCCCTCCCTCCCTCCCTCCCTTCCTCCCTCCCTCTTTGCCTCCCTCCCTCCCTCCCTTCCTCCCTCCTCGGTTCCTGCACTGCTCGCTCTCCCTCCCTCCCTCCCTCCCTCCCTCCCTCCCTCCTCGCTTCCTGCACTGCTCGCCCTCCCGCCCATCCGCCTCGAGGCGGGCCCCCGGCCGTGTCCCCGAGGGAGCCCCCCCCCCAGATGGAAGCCGGGCCGGCCGGTCGGCTCGGCCGGCAGCCTGCCCCGGTGGCTCCCGGGGGCTTCGGGCGCGGCAGAGGTCCGAGGTGGCCACGAGAGCTGCTTCGCTCTCTTTCCCACCGCTGCACACTCCGAGTCGGGAAGTTCTCCTCCTCCTCCTCCTCCTCCTCCTCCTCCTCCTCCTCCTCCTCCTCCTCCTCCTCCTCCTCCTCTCGCTCGAGGAACGAGGAACGAGGGTCGAGACATGACAGCCCGCCTCCCACGGGCCAAAGCTGGGCCACCGCCTGGACGGTCAGTTTTCGGAGCCTCGGCAGGCGGTGGATATGGACAGATTCGGGCCCCATGGGGGCCCAAATATCTCCATGTCCACCGCCCGCTGGAGCACCAGGACGTCGGTTCCCAGGCGGTGGACCTGGATGAAGCCCCGCCTCGCAAAAGAGGGGCGTGATGACTAGGGGGTGGTGTATCATGGCGTGGGCCATGATATCTCCCCACATCATGGCGCCTCTTCTCATTTCATGACGTCCCTGACCCCCCCCCTGGGCCGCGCACGTGCCGCCGGCCATGATTTGCACTCCCCCCTCTTGGACGCCCACCTCGTGGGCCGCTCCCGAGGGTTGCTCCCGGTCCCTCCTCTCCGGCTGGGCGGCCGCCAGCGGAGGCGGGCTACGAGGCGCGCCCGCCGCGGATATTCGGCAGGCGCCGGGGCTCGCCCGCACAACTGCTTTGCGTCGTTCTTGCATCTCTTGTGGATCCGAGTCGGTGTGCCGCGCCAGCAGCCAGAGCTCGTCTTGAGCTTTCTGGACGGCGGTGCAAAAGCCCTTCAGAGGCCTTCGGCCTGACGCCGAGTACGACAGAGCTGGGCACCGATCAGCTTCAGGGTCTCCGCGCTCATAGTCCGCACTGGTGGCCCTTTCGGTGAGGGGGGGGGGCGTGCGGCGGGGTGGAAGGCCGTGCCTTCATGACGGGCAGGCTCTTCAATGACCGATGCATCTGTACGTAGGGAGAGGTGTACGCATCGACCTGGCATCTGCGATGCGTAGCCCGAGCAGCAAATTTGTGGGCAGTGGGGCACGCGCGGGCGCCACTGGCGATGACTGCGCGGCTCTGGGTCGACGCTTCCCCCCAATGAGCTTGCCCCCCTCCCCCCCTGTGTGCTTCTGACGCCGCCGACACCGCCGCCGCCGTCGTCGTCGCCGTCGTCTTCGTCTTCGTCATCATCGTCGTCGTCGTCGTCGTCTTCTGGACCCAAGTCTTCCTTTCACATCCCATGAGGATGCGGCTGGGCCAGCCCGGTGCCACGCCCAAGTGGCAGCGGCTGCGGTTCGACGCCTCGGTCGCGGGAGGCCAAATATGCAAGCTCGCGCCCTCGTCTCGCTCGCCCCTCCAACGCCTCCCGCTTCGGCGTCATCCTCCTCGTCCTCCACGTTGTCCGCCTCCTCCTCCGTTGCCTCTCCTCCTCCTCCTCCTCCTTCTCCTCTTCCCTCCTCCTCCTCCTTCCCATCCTCTTCTTCCTCCTCCTCCTCCTCCTCCTCCTCCCTCCTCCTCCTCCTCCTCCTCCTCCTCCCTCCTCCTCTCCTCCTCCTCCTCCTCCTCCTCCTCCTCCTCTCCTCCTCCTCCTCCCTCCTCTCCTCCTCCTCCCTCCTCCTCCTCCTCCTCCTCCTCCTCCTCCTCCTCCCTGCCCGCGAGTTTGGTCCATGGGGGTTCAGGTGCTGTTGCTGCGGGAGTTTTTGTGCACCCGTCCCACGTCTCGCAAGTATGGGATAAATATTGTCTCACGTTCTGCAGACAGTGCGGGCACTATGCTACCCTCGACGGCCGTCGCCTTGAGGCCGCCTGCGAGCCTATAACTCGTAAGGGTCGAGAGAATTTATCTCGCATCGATCTGGGCTTGTATCCGATACGTGAGGGTGTGCCAGCTAGGCTTCAAGCTGTGTTGGCGCAACGTGGTCTCGGCTAGCCCTCTTTTCCCCACGCACATGACCAGTGCTTAGCCAAATAGTCCAAATAGTCCTCCTCCTTCTCCTCCTCTCGTCCGCACTCCCATGGCCGCTCCCACGCCCGTTCCCATGCCAGCATAGGAGTGTGCTGGCTCCTGCCATTTCGTATCAGGGCATCTTGGCTGCGTGCTCGCACCTCAGGCAACTTGTGCAAATGGGTGCGCTACGGACTCCCTGGCAGCTACGCACCGTTCATCCAGGGATCTATCCTCGTTCGCTGGGTGACGATATCTCGGTCCAGTTTGTCGGCTGAGATCCATCAGGTGCGAACCATCCGAATGTGGCAATTGTGGTCCTGGTTCGCAGTTTTATGTGCTAAGCTTGCGACTTGCTATATGACGCTTGGGCTGTGGTAGCAGCTGCTGGTATACAGAGGCTTTCATATGTAGTGCAAGCGTTGAGCTCTTCCTCGATGCCTCTGGCTTTGTAACTCGAGGCATGGAGATCTGACTTGGGACCGCCGAGGCTGCAGGAGGACGGGCTTATGTATCTCAATGTTCGCCAGCGGGGGTTGCTGATGACTGGCCGCGTTTCTGTCTGCCAGTCCTCAAGCTTTCGAAGGGCGGGTCAGCAACCTGCCTGTCTCCATGAGGCTGACACATCCGGTGTCACTGATCAAGTCCTCCGCCATATGGCTGCTGCTGTTGCTGTTGCTTCGGGGCCCCCTGCCCTTAAGTGGGAGAGCTGGCACTTTTCACCATCCCTGCATTGAGTTCATGGAAACAAGCAAGAAGGTCCTCCGCCACATGCGTGGCGTGCCAACCATGCTCGTGGGTGTCAGACCTCGTGTTGAGTACACGCCTTCTTTGCATTGCCAGCAGCAGGGCCGACGTGTCCAATTCTTCGGCGTCTTTACGGCGAGTTCGTGGTGCCGATGCCATTTCACTTGGGATGGCCTTGCGGGTGAGGAGGAGGAGGAGGAGGAGGGAGGAGGAGGGGGAGGAGGAGGAGGAGGAGGATTCTTTGGCGTCTCTACGGCGAGCTCGTAGTGCCGATGCAATTGCATTTGGGATGGCCTTACGGGTGCGTGACGAGAGGCCTGCAGCCTGCTCAGTCTTTTCCTCGCGCTCTGCGCGCAGCCGGGGCTCCGGCGGACAGTGGTTCGCGGCTCGTTGGCAACGACGTGGCCTGCACCCAGCTTGAGTGGGGCTTTCGCACCCGCTGCTCCGGGTATCTGATCAAGGCGAGTTTTTTCATTTTGTGCGCCCCAAGATATCGAATCTGTGGCTTAGAGTACACGTTGAGAGCATTACATGTTCGTCGCATCGCGCAGTACCTTCCTGTCCCTCAGCGCGCACTTCATGTGGGCCTTCGTGAGCTGACGCCTGCCGAGCTGTGCGCTTTTCGCTCCCTCCTGTCGAAGCGCGTTCCGCTGCTGGCGCCTGAGCTGCCGACGATGGCTCTTTTGGCCACCTAGTCTCAGACTGCCAAACTATACATTGGAACATGGTGAGAGCTACATTGACTTTGTTTGCTTTCCGCTCGGTGACGTGCGATCCTCTCATCGGGATGTCTTGCTCACGTTTCGGATTACCCATCGGTCGTTGAAAGTTGGTATTGTTTGATTCTTAGTGCCCGATCTACTTTAGCCGCCTTCCTACTTCTAGAGTCGAGTGGTTTTCCCTCTTCCCTCTACAGGAGGCGGGCGGAAACCCAATCTACTTCCAACGCCTTCCTACTTCATGGTTCTACCCATTTTTTCCCACCGATAGGTGCACTCCCGCCTGCATCGACAGGCGACGCCTGGCGTTTGAACTACGCTCACCGCTCTCCACCCTGCCGTGTCACCGCCTCTCGCGGCCGACCGGTCTGCGAGTGGGGTGGCGCGTTTGGGGAGCGGTGGCACGTTGCTCGACGGCGAAATCCGAACCCTGCCCTCGCCGATCAGCGACTCAGGCAGCTCGATGGGCGGCGGAGGTAGGGTTCGGAGTTCGTCGAACATGTAGCGAAATCCGAACCCTACCCCCACCTCCCATCGACTCAGGAGAATCGATGGTCGGTGGGGGCAGGGTTCGGATTTCGCCGCTTAGTTGCGCTCGCGGACTGGAGCGGCCGCGCCGCTTCGATGTCCGAGGATATCGGTGCGGTTGCCCAGCCGAGCTACTATCATCGCGTGCCTGTCCAGGCGTTCTTTGACAGGAGGGTCGATCCACTCCGAGCCGTTGCCGTGCCAAGAGGGTAGCATCAATCATTCAGGTTCAGATCACCATGTGCCGTGCTCCCTGTATCGTCTCATGGTCTTGACTTTGTTGTCGCTGGGCCGCCTTCGCAGTTGTTCTTTCCGTCCCGGTTCGGGCACGCGTGTTCTGAAAATGCGCGCGGATGGCGGCGTTAGGCAGAGCTTGCTTCGAGCTGAGGACGCTTGGCGTGGCTTCATGGGGCTGCCTCGCATGAGCCTTGGGGCACATCACTACGTGCTGAAGGCACGGTGGCGGATATTCTATCTAAGATCTCACAGCAGCGCGGCTCATCTGCCAGTGTCCAGAGCGGAGTCCCTGTCACGAGGATGCGGTCACTCAGAAGCTGCGGGAGCGTTTTCAAGATCCTCCCGTGTGGCGCAGCTCTGCGCCCATGAAGAGGACACCGTCAGAGTGATCGGCTCGTGACGACGCTGCCAGCCTCCGGGGTGGCCCCACCCAGAGCCTATCCCAAAGGCCATGCACAAGGCCCCCGGCGGCGAAGACGGAGCCGTCGTGAGGGGATCCCATGCGCAGTCGCTGGGCCAGTGGAGCGATGGTCATTGAGGCTGCCGCTCGGCGTTCGTGCAGGGGCTGCCTCCCTGCGCCCGGGAGGATCGCTCGCTCTGGCGTGTCCTGAGAGTGGGTGCCGATGGTAGCTTGGCACTGGGCACTGGGTCAGGTGCCCGCTCTTTCGCCGCGAGTTCGCGACGCGTTCCGCGCTCCTTCTGCAAGGCGCGCGTCATGAGCGAAACCTTCGCCGGGAAGGAAGCGAATAATGAGGATGCGTGTGCTGAACATGTCTTTGACCCGCAGGGTCGCCGTAAGACTCGACCTTTTCTGATCCACTCTGATCTAAGAAGGGCAATTACAGACAATGGTGGCAGTACGATCAAGACAGCAGCGAAGTCATCCGCACCTTGTCCAGCAATGGCCAGTACTTCAGTCCATATCCTTTTCGAGTCCCTCCTCCTGGCGATTGGGCGGGGTTGGGCGAAGAACGACAGCGACATGAGTACAGGGGCCGCCATCAGCTCGGACAGCTTGGAGTCGACCGCCAGCCGCAGTGTTAAGAACGGGCACGCGTCGCTGGCGCAGGATTAAGATACTCACAGCAAACAACACCAAAAACAGCAGCGCAAGACTGTCGTGGATATCCTTGCGAGCTGCAATGAAGGGCATGCACTTGCAGGCGGCTTCGTGAGCGCGGCAAGGGATGGCAACGGCTGGCCAGTGAACGGCGACGCAAAAGTGCGGCAAGCACGACCCGACCAGCGACCTGACCAGGCTCCACGAGGCACTCACGAAAAGTGCCCAGCAGTGACGACGGGTGTCAAATAGCAAGCACGCCAGCGCCACGATGGACCTGTGGAGCTGCACGAGCGAGGCGAACAAGGAGAGCAGCACGGCGGCCTCGGGGTCCTCCAGCTCGATGTGCTTGAAGCCCCCCCGACGAGACTCCGAGCCCATGCGCGAGTCCCCCTCTCATTGTCGCCGCTGCCGAAGATCTGCTGCCCGAGGTGGGCCACAGCGACCGGATGCAGGAAAGCTGCGCGAGTACGAGGCGCTTGCCCAGTCCAAGACCAGCGCTGTGCTCGCCACAACGGGTTGAGCACGACCTCGCAGCTGGTTATGCGCCTCGGCAGCCAAGATAAGACATGATGCAGGTGCGCTTCGTGGAGAAGGGGATCCGACGTTACGGTCGAAGGGTCCCCCGATCCGACTGGTGCCCCTGGATGCTGCCAGTCCTCGCCACAGGTCTCGTGGTCGCGGCCTCGTGATGCATCCCGATGGTGGGGCCCTGCTCGTTGCCGTTCGACAAGCTTTGCAAGCGTGCATGTTACATGGTGCCCCGTTTCGCTCTGCTGCCTTCGATCTAAGGGAACCAGGCTGCATAGTTAAACACACACTTTCGGGGCTGCGCGCGGACTTTTCGGATCTGCGCTGGTGCCCCCCTGGCGGTGCCTCCGGCGCCGCCGCTGGCGCAGGAGAGGGGGGTCCGCGCGCCGACCCAGGGAAGCATCCGCGCGGAGCTCCGGCAGCTCATGCCTGCGCAGCCTTGTCTCGCTCTGCTCTGTCGCGCGGTGGGAGCAGCCACAGCAGTTTTGGGAGAGTTGGGGACGGCTGTGCCGCGATGGCGCAAGTGGACGCGGTGGTTTAGGTTCACAGCATCTCAGGGCCAGCCTATCGGTGCCAAGTCTGGTCACTGATCTGTGCAGTAGCCGCGCCTTGTGGTTGCGCGCCATGGCTGCTCATCGCTGCCAAGCTCCGCCACCGCTTGCCCCAGACTGGAACTTTTGCGCCTGAGGCTGTGACTCGCCTGCTGGTGACCCAGGCTGCTCTGCTGCCACGGCTTGGATCGACGCGCGCCGCAGTGCTGTGGCGCTGGCGCCAGCTACTCTGGGATGTACTCGCCCGCGGCGCCTTTTCCATTGAAGCCGCATGTGACAATGTGCGCAATCGTAGCAGGACGCCTGCGAGTGCCGTAATCGTAAGTGAGGTAGTGGTTGTGCCCACCTTGAGATGAGGTAGAGGTTGTGCCGAGTCGCAAGTGCGTAGCCGTAGCCAATTCATGCCGCATCTGACCAACCTGCAATAGAGGTAAGTTGGCCGTAGTCGCTGTCCTCTGCTATAGCTCTGTGAGTCAAGGGGGGAACCGTGTCAGTACGATGCGTGTTCTGCCATTGTTCTGCACTGCGGCACCCCTGCGAAGGCATACCGGTCCCCCTTTTCTTTTTATGATGTCTGGCTTGGTCGCCCTTCGCGTCGACCTAGCCTCGTATACTTAGGCTACCTGGGAGCTCTTGTCATATTTGTCCGGCCTCTTCCCATTCCTCTTTTCCTTCCTCCTTCGCTTCCTCTCTCTTCCTCTTACTGTTACCCTTCCCCCTTCGCTCCAACGGGCTTCCATCGTCTCCACGTATCCTGCCGCACCCCTCCTGCTCGTGGGAATTTCCCCAAGGAGCCGTATATCGTGATTCCGCTTTCGCACCTGAGGTGGCGGAGCTCCCGAGTGTGCGCTTCGACCGCGAATTCGCAGGCTGCTTCCTCGGGTCGGCGGTGTTGCAGCCCGGCGCCGTGGATCTGGACAAGGGCCGCTGGCTTCCGGAGGTCATGAGCAGCGGTGCTTTTGGATTTAGCCAGCCTGGGCAGACGAAGCTCTCCTGGGGTGCACGCGCGGTGGAGACATCTCAGGGGGTCGGAGAAACATTGTTCTATCACATGGATGTGCTGGCTGCGCGTGCACTCCCACCCTCGAACGACGCTGGGCTGTGCTCTGCAGGATATCGCATACACGTGGAGGGTAAAACGCTTGTCCACGACCAGAACATCCAGGAGTCTTTGAATCCAACGTTTTGGGACAGGGCAGTCATACCAGTGGAGGCGGACGGCTACGGCACTCCTGCGCCACCTCTCGTGATCACGATCTTCGACGATCAGGCGAGCGGTGTCAGGGAGCTCGGCAGCCTCTTCATCAAGGACCTGCGACGGATCGACGCCTCCTCCGTGGAGGAGCTCAACTCCCACCACAGCGCCTTCTGGTACGCGCTGGACTCCACGGCCGTGGGAGCCTTCGACCCTGGGGCCGCCACCGATGCGCTGAGGCCGGGAGGGGCCGGGCCTGTCCGCACTCGGGAGGAGGACGGGTGGGGCCGGATGTGCGCATTCGGGTGCCCAGCCAAGCCGCCACACTGGCCACACCATCTCTCGTTTGTCCCTGTCCCCCCTCCCCCCTTCCTCCAGGTAGCAGGCACCCCCGAACCCCAGGGGGGAGTGGCAGATCGTCGGCGCCTGGCCTGTGTCAACATTGTGGCAGCCACTTTCCAGGTAGGTAGGTGAGATCTGGCCGATTGAAGACCGAGGGTTAGCTTACACAGAGCTGAATGGGCCCAGGCGAGCACGGGCACGGGGCACGGGGGGCAGGCCTTCTCAGAAGGCGGGGCCTCGGCCTTCTGAGACGCCGTCTGTGCCTTCGGAGCAGGATTTGGACAGCTCCTCAGAAGGCCGCAGGCCTTGCGAGCCTTCCGAGAAGGCCCGCCCCTCCTGCCTTCCCCCTGGGCGCGCCGCCACCTCGCAGGGTCAACGTTGGGGGGACGGGCTCAGCACGGGAGGTGTCGACCACCCCCTCGTCCATGGGTCGCCAGTGGGGGCCCGATGGCCCACCCCGCCCAAGGCCGTGCGGATTCGCCATCGGGGGCACATCGCCGATCGATCGGCGCCGCCAGATGGAACGGTCCAGGCCTTTTTTTGGGGGGGGGCTCCAGGGCCCTGCAGGGCTCCGGCCGATGCGGGCCGGCAGCTCGCGGGGGGCGGGGGTCGGCGATCCTCCTGCCAGGTGCAGCCCGCGGCTGCTCGTGGCCATCGCCTACTCGTCCGTGGACTGCCGGAGCAGCGGCGTCGCCCGCGAGCCTGCGTTCAGTCGCATCCCCGTGCTCCACTGGACGTGCTACTGCGTCAACATATCGAGGAGGAGAGAACGGCATAAACACACACTTTCGGAGGTCCGCGCGGATTTCTCCGATCGGCGCTGGGGTCCCTCGGCGCTGGAGGGCGCCAGTGATTGTCTGCCGCAATGTATACACAGACACCCTCCAATGGATTGTTCTTGGGTACCAGGGGAGGGTGGCGCTGTATAAATCACCACTGAGAGCCAACGACTTTCTACACCACCACCCTTCCTGAAAGCATTCGCAAGGTTCGTCGGAGGGTGTCTCTGTATATCCTTTCGTGGAGTAGAGGAGGTTCACCGCCGATCCAAGAAGTCTGCGTGGACCTCTGACAGTTTATGTTTATGGAACTTTCTGTTTCTCGAACGTCGACTTGCTGGGCCTGCGAGGCCTGCCAGAGAGCGTGGACTCGCCAGAGCTCGTCGTCTCGGCCTTCGCGGAGAAGGCCGAGGGGGTCACCCTGCCCGTCCCGCGCGGCCAGCACCGCAGGAACCCCAATTTCGAGAGCGACCGCGCAGACGCAGGGAGCATCGGTGCGCATTTGCAGGGGCATATCTGCCACGTGCCCGTGATTCCTTATCCAAGTGCTTGCGGCAGACCCCAACACAGTGCCAGCACAGCGGCGCCGCGGGAACTTGCCCTTGCATGTACCTCTTTGCCCGCGGCTTCGTTCGCCCCCTCCTTTCTGCTTCTCCTCCTCCTCCTCCTCCTCCTCCTCCTCCTCCTCCTCCTCCTCCTCCTCCTCCTCCTCCTCCTCCTCCTCCCCCCCTTGGCTCAAGCCTCCTGCTCGTGGTGTGCTCCAGGCGCAGTTGCAGCGGCTGGGCTTGGTGTTCTGCTCCCGCTGAGCACTGCGTGCAGTGCGGCGGCCGAGCCAAAGTTGGATTCAAAGTTGCAGCAGATGCGCAGAGCACCCCATGCTTAGGTTGAGGCAGCGGCACCAGGCCGCCACGCAGGAGGCCTCCCAGGCCGCGGACTTGCTCCCAAGAGTTCAAGGGGTTCTGGCAGCCAGGATGCCGCCCGGCAGGACCGCACCTCGGGAGCTTCGCACCACGGTCACGGAGCCCACCAGGATGTTCGAGACCATGCGAAGCCTGCGCAGGGCCAACTTGGGTGGGCAAGGTGTTTCCAACGGTGGTTAGGGGCAAGCGCCAGCCGATGCAGCAGGTGTTGGTGCCTTGGCTGATGAGGAGATATTTCCACGAGTGGGAGAGAATCCCAAGGATCCCAGCCCACTCCAGCACCTACGCATATGACGCCGGCCGCGATTCCTGTACCGTATGATGCGCAGAAGCAGCCAGACAGCGAAAACGCTCCCATGGACACTTGCAAAAAGGCTCATCCGTGCTTCGGAGGCATTGGATGCGGTCGCAGATGACATGGCCAAGATTCAGAGTAAGGACGGGCCCGGCACCAAGCTGGCATAAGCTTCCTCTAGCGCATTGGCGGTGCATGCAGGCAAGCCAATGAAGATCTTTTTTGCAGTCGCAGCAAGCTTGTTCTGTCTCACTGGTTTGTGTTCAGGAGTGTAGGCTTGCCGCAGGTGGTATCATCGTTCGTCAAAAACAGTGGTGCTCTGCCCATCGGTCGCCCACATTATTCCTGCCCCGCCAACGGAATTCTCCAGCGGAACTGACTCTTTCAGGCTTGCTGGGCCTTGCTGGGGATCCCTGGAGCCCCCGAGTTCGGCCCGTGCAGTGCCCGCTTTCAAACTGCGGCCGGCCTTTCTGAAGCAAAGTTGAGGCTTCTGTCGGACACCGGCCAGCCCCAAGATATGCTGGCCCAGCTTCTCATGGTGGCAAGGGTGTGTAACTCATCCCGCGCCAGAAGGTATACCTCAGAGTTTCTGACGGGAGCGACCATGACTTTGATCGCCCCCCCCCCCGTGGCCACGCGCAGAACCAAGACTATCATATCTACCTTGTGTCGTTGGGCCAGCCACGTTTTTTGGCATGCTGTTCTCTCTCCCCTCACCGCCCTGTGCCAGTTGACATTGCAATTTTGCCACCCCCGTGTTCCTTCGGCCCCAGAAGCTGCCCGCGCATGTCTCTGTGGCCCCCCAGCTCGCAGAAGCGAGCTGGCACCATGCTGCCGCTGTAGTGGAACGCGCTCGGCGCCTGCTCGACGCTGCCGTCCTGGAGGACGCAGTCTACACCTTGGCCCACGAGTGGGAACTTTGAACATGTAGGAAGACCAGCGCCCCCCTCGAGCTCAGCAAACTCCCACGCCCCCCCCCCCCCCCCTTCATGTCACCACAGTGCCCGCGGGGGCCAGGTTTGCGAGGGGTAGGGTCACGGGGGTGTCTGACGCTGGCCCGCACAGGTGGCTGTGCCACAGGGTTCAGGGTGTCCGGCGGTGCGCCCGGGACTGGGGCGTCCAAGAGTTCCAGGACACCCTGGACAGCCTCGGCCACCTCAGTTGCCTCGATACGCCCGTTTTGAAACGCAATACGTCCCGTGTTCAAGACGTCCGTGTCAATACGTTGCGTTTTGGCTCCACGTATTAGACCACGTTTTGGCGAGCGTATCGCGTCGGACTTACGTTTTCAGCCTACGTGTTGAGCTCCGTATCAATACGATACGTGTTGCGTGTTGCGTATCGGGGCATTTAAGTCGGCGATTGCCCAGAGCGTGTCGATACCACAGCTCCCCTGAATGGAGGAGCTCCAGGATATCCGAGTCGCTGCAAGTTTGCTGCGTGCTGGTCTCTAGCAGTCGCGCTTAAGCAGGAGCTGCTTTTGCAAGCGCTTGGTGCGTTTCTCCAGCATGTTGCTATGTTGATTCGTCAGGGGCGAGTTCGACCGGTCGGCGGAAGGTGGGGCTTCGAACGGGGCTGGGTTACGTCATCCATGACTGCAGGGATGGGTTGGGCGCGCAGGTGGTCCGAGCGAGTCGAAGCTTGGTGGCCTGTTTCCGTTTCGCGCTAGTCTCAGTTCACGGGAGGGATTCAGCATGTTCTGCGAGTAGAAGTTGATCGGCTCGCCAGTCTCCGGCAAGTTTCCCGGGGGACTCCCCCCTCCCGCACGCTCCAGATGTAGAGGATCGCCTGGGCCCCGGGCCCCATCTCCTCTGCTCGTCTTCGGAGGTGGCTCGTGGTTTTCCTCGCTCCGCGGCCTCTCCTCTGGGATGGTGCCCGCTCCCGGCAGTTCGGGGCGTTGGGCACTGAGCAGGCGGGGCTGGTCTGTAGGGTCATCGGCCTTGCTGAACGAGTAGGTCGCATGCCTACTCGGCCCCGGGGGGCGGCGTCTACTTTGCTGATCAAGTTGAAACAGCGCGACGCCCCAGCCAGCCAACCCAGTTCTCGTTCCATTTGGCATGCCCCCGTCTTCGCGCAGAGTCTGGTCGCGACTGAGGCGGCCAGCAGCCAGAGAGCGGAGCGGCGTTTCATTATTGCCCACCCTGCCTCGCGCATCAGGCCCAGCGCACCATCGTCGAGCTTTTTGCGTGGGAAGTCCCTCGAGTGTGAGGTGAGTTCAACGGCTCCGTGGCGGAGCATCAATGCTCTGCGCGAGTGCTTTTGGACTTGCCCCACTTTGCGAGCACATTGGCAGTGGATGCTTTCCACTCTGGGCCGTTGCCTCGGGGTTCCCATGCCGTGTGCGGGGCGGCCCCCCGGGCCCCTGCCCGAGGCCCCTCCCCCCCTGGGCCCCCGCTGGGCGACCGCCCTCCCGGGTCTCTTCCCGGCGACCCCGCCCTGGGCCCCCCTCTCCCGAGCGGGGGGGGGGATCGAAGGGGGGAAGGGGCCTCCAGTGGACTTGACGACCGCGTCGTTCGAAGCGGAGGTGGGGTCGCGAGGCTTCCCTGGGGCCCATTCTGGGGCCGCCCCGCCTGGGGGCGCCCGGGGCTCCCCGGGCCCCGGGGAATCCCGGGGGGGCGGCGCGCTGACCCAGGGCCCCGTGGACCTTCCCCCGGCGGAGAAGGGCTCGAGGGGGAGCAGTCTCTTTTCGACTGCATTGCGACGTGCTTCAATTTCTTGGCGGCTAGCAGCTGAAGAGGAGGGCCTGGGAACAGGGCGGGGGGCGGCGATGGCAGCAGCGGCGACGACGAAAGAATGACGGCGAGTCAAATTCAATGGCGTCTCCCGTGCGACAGGGTCGGCGGATTCTCGCTGTCGTCATGTCTCAGCACGGAAACCAGCGCGTTGTGTTTCTTGAGGTTGCCGGCGGCTGTGGGGAGACCGTGGGAAGGGCTGGCGCCTGGGTGTAATTGGGCAGCCTGCCTCGCCCAGATGCGTGCTTGCCCAGCTGGGCATGCGGGCTGCAGCTAACAGTTTAATCAGCCTCGCCACTTTTATCGGTGATATTTGCTGCAGTGTCCCGCGCAAGAGTTCAATCTTGGGGTTGACAACGCGACCCTTACTGCTAGGTCTCTTGATGGCGCCAACGTCGAGGGTTTCAGCCGTGCGATTGCCAGTCGCAGAAGTCAAGTTCTCGCTTGCCAGCAAGGGCTCCAAGACTGACCTGGACGTGCTCTCGGTGATCTGGAGAGCCCCCTCCAAGGATGCTTCGGCGGCCGAACTCGGGGTGGGGGCCGGGGATGGGCAGCTGGGCGGCCCCAGTGCAGGTGGTGTTTCGTTTTTCTTTATCTAGATGTATTAGAAAAAATGGGAAAACGAAATGTTGGCCAACATGAAGAAAAAACGATGAGCGCAGTCAGGCTGTTCAAACGCGCGGGGCGTAGCGCGCGCAGGCCCTGCCAGACTGACCCCCATGCGGCCGCGACCTTCGGCGTGGACATGTCTCTGGCGTCGGCGGCTCCACTTTGGAGCGAGCGCGGTCTCGGTGCCTTGCTGCTGAAGGCCCTGGGTGTCCTATCAGTAGCCGCGGCCTGTCTTTCTTGATCCTCCAGGGCCCGATTTGGGAGAAGACTTTAGGCGCGACCGTCATAATGCGTGGCCTTTTTTGGGGAGCTTCGGCCCGTCTCCGTCTGGCTGTGGCCCATCTCCAGCAGGTGTGCCTCCGGGCGGATTCCGCCCTCCCGTGAGCTCCGAATGGTCGGGGCTTCTGTGGGGGTGCGCTGAGAGTGGCGGTTTTGCTCCGCCAGCGTTCGGGGTGGAAATCCAAAAGGCCTTGTGACCAAGGCAGGACTTGAGCACCTCCCCCCAGGGCGCTCCCCAGCTTGTTTTTGAAAGCCTATGGACGCGAGGGGGAGGAGGGGCGAGGAGCGAGGAGGAGGAGGAGGGGGGGGAGGAGGGGCGAGGAGCGAGGAGCGAGGAGCGAAGAGAGGAGGGGGAGGAGGAGGAGGAGGAGGAGGAGGAGGAGGAGGAGGAGGAGGAGGAGGAGGAGGAGGTGCCGCGCCCAGTCGCCCGCGACGGCGGCGAAGTAGCTGGGCCACTGGGGCGCTGCTCTCGCCGTGGCCGCTGTCGGGAAGGCGATGGCGCAACCGGGCCCCGCCCCCCAGCAGCCAGGCTCCGGTTCCCTGTGAAGGGGCCCAAGCACGCACAAATAAATACACACAAATAAAAAGATTCCCCATATTGTCCTACATTTTCTGGGTTCTTGTCTTCCCCCCCACTTCCCATATTTTCCCATATTTTCCTGGGAGTCGACGATTAATTGTGTCTGTGTGTTTTTTCCCCTCCTGACCCTGCTGGCGCTGCCGGTTCAGAGCGCTCGCACCGTGGAGAGGGCGAAGGCAGCAGGCTGCGACAGCCGAGATGCCAGCGCGGGCGCCGCACGGGTGGCCTTCGGCACCGCGCGCTCTATATGGCCCCAGGGCCGAAGCGCTGAGAGCCGCTCGCTTCTCGGAAACGGAGCTCCAGAGGTTGCGCGATCCCCTGCCCCTGTGTTCCCCCCCTTGCGTTTTCGTTTCCAGTTCGTTCCCGATTTTGAGAGGGGCCCTTGTCCTTGGACGGGCCGCGTTGTTTTTGGGGGAGCTCTGTCGCGCGCAGCCCGCTAGAAGGCCAGCTGAAGCGTTTAGAGAATGAGGATCTTCCTGATGGAAGTTGAACCCACCGCCGTCGTCCGGTGTTCAATGCTGCAGGCGTTGCCGTTGTATGCATGCGAAGGTGCGAGGTTTCGCGCGTCCCAGTGGCCGCGTCGGCAGGCTTCTTTCTCGGGCATCCAGTGCGGTTGAGCACCTTGCGGCAATGGTAGTCAGCAGTGTGGCCCGTTTTGTCCAGGTTATCCGTTGCGACTGCAAGGGGTGCTCCAACTGCGTGACGGCGAGGAATCATCCAGACGCGACCGTTGGGCGGGGTTGAAGATGATCGCTGGCAAAGGGCAAGGGTGATCGCTGGCAAGGGCTTCTGATAGGTGGAGGCCCACCAGGACGCGCGAGCCCTCCCTGGAGGAGGCGAGGCTAGAAAGCTGGCCGAAGTCAGCGGCGCCGCGGGCCGCTGGGCCAGAGCTGCAGCACCCAGCGGACGCCCAGCCAAGTGAGACAGAGAAACTGAACTTCGTGCTGCGTGCGATATTTGCTGGACAACATGCCCGGGGAGCCGGCGAGGTTGAGAATGCGCCTGCGGGAGACGCTTGCCGGGGCGCTGGACAGCACGCGGGGAGAGCTTGCAAGCTGCGAAAAGGAAGCTTCAAAGGAGCTTCGAAGGTGCTGCGAAGGACCTGCGGAAAGGCTTCAGGGTGGCTGAGGGCCTCGGCGAGTGACTGGCGCCCCCCCCGCCGAAGCAGAAAGCGCCGGCTGCCCCCGAGAAGACCCTGTCGCCCCCGACGGGGGCTGCTGCGGCCCATGCCCGGGGCCTCCCCGTCGTCTCCTCGGGCCCTGGGCCTCCTCTTCCTCCTGAGGTTTTCGAATTCTCATTCGCTTTCTGGCGCTTCCGACGCTTTCTGGCGCTTCCGACGGTCCAAGACAGCCCGCGAGGCCCGAGAAATCAGTTCAAGACGGCCCAAGAGGCGCCCAAAGAGGGCGCCAGTGCGTCGCAAATGAGTCCCAGGACGGCCCCTCCTCCGCCTGGTTGTCCTGGTCCCCTTCCTCCTCTCTGCTCCTCCGCGAGTGTTGTTGCTCTTCGTTTGCCAGGCGCTACTCCGCGGCGCGTGGAGGCGCAGTCCTGCTGCGGTGATCTGCAGTGCTCGCGCATCGAGGCAGTATTGTCGCCTGTGCGGAGGAAGAAGATGCCCCCCCTCCTCCGCCTGAGGCCCGCGAGAGCCCCCCTGGGCCCCGCGGGTCCTGCGTGATCGTGCTGTTTCGTGGCCGCTGGAGGTGCGCTCTCAGCCATAACACAGACACTTCGTCTTATGCCACCGTGCCACCACCACCCGCCCCCTTGGAGGCATCTTCGGGGTTTCCCGGGGGCCTCCTGGGGGCCTCCTGGGGACCTTTCGCGAGCCGCTTCGGGCCCGTTGTGCCGTCTTGGGGACGTCGTGGGCGCGGTGGTTCCATTGAGCTCTCCCAGAGGCTCTGGCCAGGATTTTTGGCTTAGTGTGTCGCGCGGTCGGTTCTGGCCCACCATGTTTCGACGCGGCACGCCAGCCCCGTCCGAGCCCCCAAGCGTCAACATTCATAGCTTTTCCCACTTTCCTGGCCCGCAGGGTGGAGCGACGCGTTATTCGCTCGGTGGGCATCGCGCGTCGCCGGGGCCGCCGCGCGGCTTGCGACCGCTCGACGTTGGAAGTGGGCCACAGAAGTGCTCACATGGGGCATTCCAGCAAGGGTCTCGCTTTCGAGGATCGAAGGATGGCGGTCGAAGGGCGGCGGAAGGCGGCTGCAGTAACACGGGGGCGGCTCCGCGGCAGAAGCCAGCGAAACTATAAGATGCGCCCCCAAGATATGCCACCTTTTTAATGCAAGCTTTCCCGAATCGGTCGCAAGAGTTTCATTATCTCTGGCCTTCTCGGGCCTCTCTGGGGGCCTCTTTGGGCGTCTCGTAGGATTCTCTTGATGCCGCTTGGAGCCTCTTGGAGACACCTTGGAGCCTGTGGGGGATCGTCGGGCCGTCTTTGGATGTATTTGAGGCGCCCACCAGCAATTGGATGTATTTTAGGCGTCCAGCAACACGTTCGGGGCACTATCCGGCCGTCTTCGGGCCGTCCAGATGCCGAAGCGGGCGCTGTAGGGCAGAATTGGGCTGGGGTTGGGTGGGGGCGATTTGGGGAGGGCGTTTGCTGCGAGGGAGGGTGGGGGCGGCCCTCGAAAGCTCTCAGAGACCCTGCCAGACAAGTCTCAGCCCTCCTAACATTCCGCGCGGTGCCTGCGCGCGGGCGGATCTGCAGCCTCGGCTTACGGAGGGCGTCCAGTATGACGGCGAGCCTGCCGTGCTGCTGCCGGACCTGATCCTCCAGCTGATGGACGGGTCCAAGAAGCTGGGGGCGCTGTCGCTGCCGCTTGCCACGCCCGACTCGGGGCACATGGTGGACAAGAGCAGCCCCGAGTCCGACAGCAAGAGCATGGAGCTGCGTTCCACCAACACGGCCAGGTGGTCCCGAGATGGTGGCAATGTCTTCTCACGTTCGCTGAGCAGGTTGTCCCGAGATGATGGCAAGGATCCAGACGCCGCTGCCGAGCTTCCGCAGGCCTGCATACACAGCTCCGAAACTGGCGCTGACGCCTACACTGTGTTTATCGATTTCTTCGCCGCTGAGAGTGGATATCTGCGGTGGAACTCCCACACAGCGGTTGGTCGCAACATTGTCGAGCAACGGCTGTTCGAAATTCGAAGGGAAGATTCCGCGGATAATGACAACGAAGTCCCATTGCAGCAGCACTTCAACGTGTCTGATTTCATGCTCAATACGGAAAGCTCCCTCTCGGAGCCTTTCGACCAACGTGTTTCGCCTGTTCTCCGATGTGCTAAATGGGACCCCCAGCAGAGTGAGTGGATATCGACGCGAGAGGACCCCATTTTCTCTTTCCTGGTGATCGCGCTCTTGACCGGGGGCTTGGTGGGGGGGAGGGAGTGTGCGGTGGATGTGGTTGGGTGGGCAGGGGCATGGTCGCGTCACTTGTTTTGGCCGCGCGGGGATGGCATGCCCGAGCGCATGGTTCGTGCTGTGTGTGGCTGGCGCGATGGCTCCGATGTAGAAGGGTGATGGTGAATTGGGGGAGGAGAGGAAAAGGAGGACGCGGAGGAAGAGGAGCAGGCTGAGGGGGATGAGGAGGCTGAGGAGGAGGACAGGCTCAATGGCCATCCCGCCATTGTCTGTGCAGCGCGATGAGGAGAAGGAGAAGGAGGAGGAGGAGGAGGAGGAGGAGGAGGAGGAGGAGAAAGACCCTGGGAGGACCAGAGAAACTAAATATGCACAAGCGATGCTCCAATGCACCCTCCCGTCCCAAGTCTCCTCGCCTTACGCCCCCTATTTGTTCTCCGTCTCAGTACAAGACATACCCCCCTTGAAAGATCAGCGAAGTTGGGCTTGCCATTTTGGCGAGGGCCCCACTTTGAAAAGGAACTGCCTTGCATCCGTCTGGCGCGTAGTCAGGACCACGAACAACAATGATCGTGTTTGCCAACCTGGACCACAATCAGTGGTATGTTATGCAGTGTATGCTTTAAGTTGTGTTGTGTGATCTATGAGGTGTGATCTATGCGGCGTGAGCAGTCTGGTGTCAGCTATTTGGCGCAATCTATCGAAGACGCCTACGGCGAATCACCGCCGCCCCCTGCCTTTTGGACTAGCCCATGTGGCCGAGCGTTGTGGCAAGAGCTCTGCCAAGCTATGGGCACAGGATCGGAGGACATCCGATCATATGGCACCCGTGTGAAGTGACCCGCAAGCCTAATCACGCCTGCAAGCTCGAAGGTAGCTGGCAACACTAGCGTGCGAAAGTGCTGCTTCCAGCGACGAGCTGCCTGTAGCTGCGAAGTTACCGTCTGTGCATGCATATCCTTGAGGATGGGCAGTCCTTTAAGCATGCGCTTGCGGCGGGACCCCGCACCGACCCGGCGTAAAGCCGCAAAAGCCTCCCGTGCCTGTCTCTGGAACCATGCATCTTGAAAACCATTGACAATGTCATCGCAGTGCTTGGCAGCGTCCAGCGTGGTAGATTTGTTGATCACAAACGCCGTACCACGCATGAGCGCGTATGTGAAGGCCCACGAGAGGCCCTGCCACCTCCAGAAGTTGGGAATCATTCCTTGTAGTTGATACAGGGCACGTGGAATGCCTACCAGGCGACAGTCATTGGCCTGCAAGTGTCCTATATGGCTCCCAGGTGTTGGTACGCGACACAGTTTCCACAGGGCCTCAATATGTGCGGCATGAAAGGTAGGGGCGCACAACCTACCTCTTATATCCTGCAAGGGTTGCGCAAACGCCACTGCGGCTTCGAGAACCTGTGACCCCACGCATGCAACTGCCTCGCATGCATCTATGAGTAGAGCACGAGAGGGACCCTCTCGTTTTGACCACCTCCACCTGCACTGTCTGTAGTCCAACCACTCCTCCACCTCCTTCCCATCGGCACGCGCAAAAAGCAGCGGCAAGCAGCAGATGTATCAGTTGTCGTCGTAACATGCGTAGCTCTCGCCGTCCAGGAGAGCGATGGTTCATTAGCGTCAGCGAGCGATTCGAGAGCCATGTCTGACGTGGCAACGGTCCCGTGGGTGACTTCTGGACAGGGAAGCACGTGGTGACCGCCCTAGCGAGCTCATCGTTCACATGTTACGCATGATCATCAGGATGCCACTGGAAGACTGACCGCGGAATATCTCTGACCATGGCGACAAACTTGGCCGCGCAACCGGTGTCCTGGATTTTTTTGCGGATCGCGGGGGATTTTGGCCCAAGAGGAAGCAGCCAGCACGGGGCCCGTGCTGCTGACTTGCACGCCGGCCATAACAACGAAATGATCATCGGAGCGAATAGATCGACCCACTATCGGATCAACTCCTTGACGACTGATCGAATTGAACGAGGCTTGAGGCACAGTCACGTAATCGATGTGCCGCCTCGCTGGCGCGGCTCCTGCTGAACCTGGGGCGGCTTCTGAAGGTGCCTCTGTCTCTGCGCAGTCTGCCTCGGCAGCCGAGGACGCTGCCGCCTCTGAGGACATTCGAGCCAGGGTTGACCAGACTCTCGAGGAATCTTCGTCCCCTGCCTGTCGCGTGCGCGTGACAGGGGGCAAGTATCTGAGAGTGGGGGCCCGGGCTTGAGAGCCTCCAGGGAGCTTTTAATTTTTAAAGCCTCGAGAGTGTCTGCGATTGGCTCCAGGTCTCAGGCCTCAGGGATTCGGTTATTTAGGCGCTTCAAGGGTGCCTTCGGCCATGGGGCGGTCGGAATCTCTTTTGACACCCCTCTTTTGCCTTCTGAAATTCGGGTACCCCCAGACAGCCTAGGAGCCTCTCGCATCTCCTCTCTGCCTCTGCCTGGCGCGGTCAGGAAGCCGCACGGTCTGAAGACTGGTGATGCCCCGATGGTGGAGCAGCCAGTCGCACGCTTGCCGCAAGTCGATGCCTCTTTTCCTGGCGCGAGCTCGGTAAGGGCCTGGTCCTGTATACGTTCCCTTGAAGGTCTGCCGGCGACCTCAGCGCGAACCCTAGGTGCCCAGGGTGCGGTCACTGAGTACGCGACTCGGCTTGACGAGGGGCTCTTGGTCACCACCGTCAGCGCCAACTCTTGGGGCACCCTGAAATATCGCCTCGCCACCTCGCAGGCCCATGTGGTGATCGCACAGGGGCGTCGGCTGTCGGATTCGGGGGCACCTGGCCAAGCCTCGAACTCATCCAGGTTCCTGGGCGCTGGAAAACCTCGTGGGCTCCTGGAGTGCCAGGGGGAAGGAGGAGGTGTTTCATCGGGAGTATGCGCTTGCGTTCGCGATGGCCTCGGCCTTTTTGAAGCTGGGGATCGCGTTATTTTTTTGTGCTGGCAGGGCTGTGGCGACCATGGTGCACGTGCCAGGTTGCGGCCCGATGTGTACTCCAGACTTCGTCATAAAAGGGAGGGGGTCTGGACCCTCCAAGACAAGCCATTTCAGACCCCCCCTCGTGGGAGAACCCTCCAAAACATCGTCCCCAGACCACCCCAGGCCCTCCAAGATAGCCTGGAAGAGACCCCCCCGAAATGAGACCCCCTTCCTTTTATTACGAAATCTGGAGTATCTGCAGCCTCTACCTCGCCCACAGCGAAGGTCTCTCTGAATGTAACCTCGAGATTTTACGGGTTGTGGGGGAGTATTTGGATTCGCCAGGCTGTGAGTTCATTGTGGGGGCTGACTGGAACGTGGGTCCTGAGGTCCTGGAGTCCTCTGGCTTTGCCAGTCGTCTCAGAGCCTCGTTAGGTTTTCCTGAGGGACACGCGCTTCCCTAGTAAGGGGGGCTCCTGATCGATTTGGCTAGTTTGTTGTTTCCGAGGCCTTGAGCCTCTGCTTGAAACTTGCCGGAGTTGAAGATGACACTAACCTCGCCCCTCACCGTCCCGTGTCGATCCGCTTTCGCAGCTCCCTCGGAGATCTCCAGGCCCTCGCTTTCCGCCGGCCCCCTTCGTTGCCTGTCTTGGCGCCCTTTGGCCCTGCCCCTCGGCCTGGCTCCTGGGATGCCGCTCTTAGCTTGGCCGAAGAAGCTTTTGGGGCTCTGGAAGCTGGGGATGGGGTCAAAGCCCGCAGACTTCTCAATCCTGGTTGCAAGGTTTGGGCGGATCCTGCGGAGAGTGATTTGGCGCTGGCCCTGGGATCCGATCCCAAAATCCTGGGAATGAGGAGCAAGCGGCCTCAAGTTTACTGGGGGTCTGTTATGAAACCCGCGGGCAGAGAGAAGCAACCTGACAAGCGTGTTGTTCAGTGGTTGTGCAACCAGTTGCGAGCTGTTAGGTGCTACCTCTCTGAATCGACCTTGCAGGGGGCTGGGCGTCAGGTGCCCAACTCGATCGTCCAACTTCCGGAGGCTGTGGCGGTGCAAGAAGGCGCGGACTGCTTCCCTTTCTTCAGAGCTGGCGGGGCCTTGGCTAGATGCGCCCTGCTGCCTGATTTTGATCCTGAGCTGCTTTCGGATCTGGACGACCTGATCGCCCAGGTTGTGCTCGCTCTCTCCACTGCTAAGGCCACCTCCGCGATGGAGTCGCGGCAAGAGTGGCGCGAGTGGGTGAGAAAGGGCATCGATGCTGGAGGTCGCAACGGCGTTGAACGCGCAAAAAGCTTTCTCAAGGGCCCAGAACCTTGGAAGCCGACTACCACTTTGTCTCGTTGTAGGACCATTGTTTGCGACCCAGTCTCGTTGCTTCGGGCTGAAGGCGACAAGTTCGCTGCTATTTGGGGCTCGGGCTCGGGGGGTGGAGTTGGGCGCGACCTTCTTCCGCATGCCCGTGTTTTGGAGCCTGCTGAGATTCGACCTGTCTCTAAGAAGTATCGGCCTGGCTCTGCAGTCAGTGTCGATGGTTTTCATTGCCGCCGCTTCTGCTTACTCCCCAATGAATGTGGGTTCGTGTGGTTTGCTGTGTGGAGGGCCACTGGGTCCTTCCCCCGTCGGCTGTCTTGGGTCCTCATGGCCCTTCTGGTCAAGCCGACTGGGGGATTCCGGCCCGTTGGGGTTTTCCCCGGCCTCTACCGTGCTTGGGGTCGTGCCCGTAGGCATGAAGCGCTGCTGTGGGGGCTGAAGCATCCCCGCAGGCACCGTGCCGCGGGGGCCCACGGGGGGGCGGGGGACGTCGTTTGGAGGCAAGCCTTCAGAGCTGAAGCGGGGGCCAGGCGAGGAGACACTTCGGTTGCGATTTTTTTGATCTTCGGAAGTACTATGAGCATATCGACCTTAGGTTTCTCTGGCACTTATGCCAGAAGCATCATTTCCCGCTCCAGCTGGCACGCTTGGCCATTCAAGCGTACTCTTGTGCCAGGTTCCTTGCGTTGGGGGGCGTCATCCAGGGGCAGTTTTTCGTGAGCAAGGGCCTGGTGGCTGCATGCTCCT